AAAATTCCAATGTATATCAACTGAAAGCTGTAGTGTATAACAGCCAAAACATCATGAATATGACAATAAAAATGTGGACAATGGTCCAAACAATGCAAATAGTTACAATACCTCATCTCAGAAATATAGACAGATATTAAAAAGATTCGCTTAACATTTCCTTTGTAACAGAAGACTAAATATGAATAAACTTAAACTATTATAATGCAAAGATATTTAAATTTGCAAACTTTAAAAAAATTTTTTTTTAAATTCAAAATTCAGTATTTTTACTGAGAATTTAAGATAATTTATGGTTACTTATTAAAATTAAAAGGTATTTATTATGGTGAATTTCTATGTGTAAGTGTTTCTCTTCCATGTTGCCTTGGCTGGTAGGAGAAGGATCATCTGGAACTTATTCTGCACTGGTGACACTATGACTTGCTGGGGGCTTTTTTAAAAGAAAGAATGGAAAGGAACCCTGTATATAAAATATGGAATCACTAGTCTCTGACAATATACCTTGAATATTGTATGTAAGAAGGTGAAAGAATAAAGTGACCAAAGTATAAAACAAATCAAACCAATAGTCTGAACAACTCTTGGAATCGTCTTTATAATGAGTAAACTATTTTGGATTCTGAGAGCCACTTTTTCGAACAAGGAGAAAAATTTAATTTTGTCAGAGTTGTAAAAAATTCATGTCCCGTTGATGAACGACATTCAGTGCTTTTGAAGATGTGGTTACATTGGCATTGTGAAGAGGTTAAGCGTATTTTCAATATTCAAGTTTTATGCTTTCAAGAACTTCATTCATTACAAGAAAAAGTAAAACATTTGTCAAATTTGGGGACAAAAAAGAAAAAAACAAAAATAAAACACTATTTTTAAGGTATGCACTAACTCAAAATAATAATATACAATTATATGATTTTTATCACTTTAAGAATAGTTTTGTTTTTAGTGAATACCCACATTTGAGTAGAAACTGTGTATTTTTAAACAGTGTCGTCTACTGGCCTGAATAATTTAGAAATCTTATTAAAGAAAAATACTCCCCCTGGCAGAATCAAGCCTGCATCCCCACTTTTTTGCAGGAGAAATTGAAACTGTTGTTATACCCAATGTGCTTTAACGTCTCGGTTATGAAGAGTACCATGATTAAACAAGGTTTTGTATACTGCTCTAATGTTTAATATGATAAAAATCTGTCAGATTACTAAATAAAAATCCATTACTTCTTTAACAATTGTATGATATAAATCAATTCTGAAGGTTAAAATACTCTAAATGCTGCTATTTTAAAACAAAATCATTGGTATTAATTCAAAATATGATCCTTTTGCCTCAGATTCAATTAGTACTCAATAAGAATCATAGATTGTATTCCTTCAGTAAGATTAGTGCAATAGTCAAATTTTGTATCAAAAGAAATTGTCTGTTTAAAAATTATCAAAATCATGAAATAAAGTTCATTTTTTTTAGTTTAAAAGTCCAAAATGGAGTAAACACCAAAATCATTATTTTAGTATTGAATTATAAGCCAGGGTATTTATTTTTGTTATAAACCAAAAACCTGGTTTTAGTTCAAATAAATATGAGGAAAGGTTTTAAACATCAACACAAATTAGTTCAAATTAACATTCACAGTATTTAACTTACAAAATTCATTTATAGTGATCAATTTTTAAATATTTAGTGGAACAAAATATTCATTCAATGTATTTTTTAATAATTTTCTTCAATTACCAAACTAAAGCATTCTTTTAGTTGCAAGTCCTAAAGGGATATTCTTGTTTGCATCTTTGTCATGGCAAAAAAGAAAACATTTTGTATGAGTAAAATACAAGATTTACTAAAATATCAAAATAAAAAATTGCTTAGAGAAGGAATTAAACCTTTAACTTAACCCTCTAGTATTCAACACCTATCAACTAGTATCCTTATCTTGACCAATATGATTACCATTTTTTGTATGAGGTTCTCATCCAGTTATAACCATCCCTTACAAAGTGATACATTTTTGTTGCATGATTAAGTTAGGGGATTGGCAGAAAATTGATGAAAAGATATAATAGAGAATAGGGTACTATATATTATAAGATCAGTGACAGCTCTGGGGGTAGGACTTGTCAGGCTAAGCCCAAGTGAGTCAACATATACAGTATAGCTATTTTAAAGCAACAAAAATCTTTCATTATGTGTTGTTTTCATTCTTGATGTCAGCTAAATCCAAAATTAATTGTTAATTGTTTAACTTGCTGCCTCAAAATATTGACCAAAATACATTTTGTTGATATTGTTCATAATAAAGAAAGAAGGAAAGAAAAAAAAGAATGAAATAAAATTAACATGGCTAGTCGTGCTGTGTAGATCTGAGCCCTATCAGGCAGGAGACATACTTAATAGGCAATGTATTTCTTGCCTTAATTTTATAAATAATCTTTTAAAAATCTCTAAAGAGTTGTATGACTATTTTTTAAAGAACAGATTTTTATTTCAACTTATTGTTTTCAAATGTCCATTTTAAATAATTTATTCTGTACAATATAAGGTTTTTTAGTGGAATGTGTCTTTTGAGAAAGGGCAAATTAAATTTAGCCAGGCTTAAATTCAGTGAAAAATCAAAGAAAGTGAAGCCTTAGCTTGTCGACTGGAGAGTTAGGATGAGGAGTGTGACTGGTGTAGTGTTGAGGAAATATGATATCAGTCAGCAGTATTGATCATAAATGTACAATAAATTAAACTAAAAATTCAGACAGATACATAAACTCACTAATGCATAGACATATACACACACAAAGTAATACATTTTTGTTGCATGATTAATTTAGGGGACTGGCAGAAAATTGATGACAAGATATAATAAAGAATAGGGCACTCATACATATATATATATCTATCTCAGATGGGTTGAAACTTCCGGAAAACAGTTTAACAAATATTGCAAAAGGTTGCCAACATTGCCATATATGCACAAGAAAATGTAAGACCCTAACAGGACTAAAAAGCCATATCTACACTGCTGAAATTTGAGAATAAATCAAGTGATGACATTTGTGGAAACCAAGTCACAATCATCATTATATATGTAACAAATCATAACCCCACACTTATAAACACACCATATACACATAGTGACAAAACAGACATACACAAATGCACTATACAAGATACATGTAGTTACTGTATAGATTTCTTTATAATAATATATATGTATGGATAATCAAATATATATATATATATATATATATATATATATATATATATATATATATATACATACATACATACACACTAGCAAAAGCACACACAATACACAAGTAGGGAAGAAGGTCTAAAGAGATACACAAGGACATAAAAAGATAGGAACAAAGACCTCATCTCTTCCCCTTTCACTGACCAATCCTGTTTTATTACACCTTAAGCAGAAGAACATTCTTCTGCCAGCCCAAGATGAATTTCGGTTACTACTACACATAAAAGACAATGGTGAAAAAACTCAACACAAGAAAAAATAGTTCCTTCAAATAATACGTAGAAATAACCATTTTTCGCCTGATGAAAGTCACAAGACCCGAAACTCATGTAGCAAAAAATATATAAAAAAAACAACCACATTATAACCAAAAACATTTGTGACCTCTTTTTAATATATATATATATATATATATATATATATATATATAAAACACACACAGGGTGTATCAAAAATTCTTTTATGAACTTTGGAGACAGGTTCCTCACACCAAAACAAGGCAAAATGTCCAAATAAACACATGTTCAAAAGGCTATCGTTGTGCCTCAACACAGAAACTCATAAATGTTCAAAATGTCCTCTGCTTGCTTCTACACAAGCATGCACCTATCAGATAATTGACTGGCGGACCCTTTCAAATAGTCCCACATGGTGCCAAAAGGCAAAGATTGGATGAATCAGCTACCTTGAGTTTGGAAACGCAATTCGATTCAGTCGTGCAGCCTTGTGACCATAAACCATGTAAAAATCATATCTGCCAGCTCACAATATGAATATCCTGGCACTGTTAAATGGAACACTTCTCAATTAACTCACTACTACACACGTTATTTTAAACTTGAAATATATTTTATAAAATCCACACCAAAATGGTAAGCTCATTTATTTACAAAAAGGTGATGTAAAACCCCAAATAACAATTTTAAGGGAAGGGATTCTTGATCAGCACCCCATATATATGCTATTTCTTAGTTTATTTTTGCTACTAACATCTGTCAATTCTTGTGCCTTGAGGAGGTAATGCTGTCATGGGTCAAGAAGGTGGCTGCTGAAAGACCACATATCTGGCAACAGGACTCTGCATCATGTCACACAAGCAGGAGAATTAAGTCATAGCTGTCAGACAATTTCTGCAACCACATCACCCCTTACATCTGGCCACCTAACTCTCCAGACTGCAACCCTCTTGATTGGTTGCATTTGAGCAATAAACTAATAAAACTCTTGTAACACCAAAGATGAACTGAAGGCAAGCATTCACTTTATTCAATAAAGAGGCCATCCAGAAGAGTTGAGGGAAATTCCAAAGTTGTCTGGAGGCTGTGGTTGAAGCTAATAACAATTTTATTGAATAAATTTACTCTTTAGTACTTCAAGATACATTTGTGTAATTTTGGTAAATATATCTGTTAAAATAACATGTCAGTGTTATTTTCATTTTTGCATTATTTATACGACAATTTATCGGTTGCACTATATATATATATATATATATATATATATATATATATGTAAAATGACAGAGAATCAGCAGGGTGCCAATTCTCTATAGCCTGATGAATTAGCAAATGTTTTTGTTAGAAAAAACATTTGGAACCATTTTATAAAACTACTCTGCTTTAGCAAGACCAATACATGCTCGCTATCTCTCTACCTTGCCCATAGATGACTCAAAACTGTGTGAAATAGAGATATTCTAATTCAGATACAAGATCAGGTAAAAAGTTGGAAATAACACCACCGTGTTGGTGACACTGACCTGAACTAAGTCCCCAGATCATGGGATTGAATTCAGACTCTGGGTTGCCTTTCTTGAGCATTCGCTCTCCTCCAATTGGCTTCAGAAGTTTCCGCTCGTCTGGTGCCGGTTTCATCTGTTCTAAAGACTGGGGAGGTGGAGGAGGAGGTGGAGGAGGTGGAGGCGGAGGAGGCGGAGTTGTACTGGGGGGCATTGGAGATGATGGACCCTGGCCTCCAATGGACATCGAACCAACATTTTCTGAATTGAGAACAAAAAAAAAAAAAAAAAAAAAAAAAACATAAAAAAAGTCAAGAGAAATCTTCAAACAAGTGGAACAGAATTGAAATTTACCAAAAATTATAGATAAAGATCATATATACTTATTTATAAGTGAATCACCCCTATTTTTTTTTTTGTGACAAATGGGTAAAAATCCTAACCCTGTGTATAAGCCTCGGTAATCAAACACAATGAGATGAAATGGTTTTGTAAATTTCCATGAATGAAGAATATAGTTTTAATATTTTGATATCTAAAATGTTTTTAAGGGTAAATTTGGAGTATAGTTTTTTGTCACATAATTCTTGGTTTATACACAAATATATGCAATAGATAAATAATTAGCAAAAAATAAACACACTGGATTCTTGAAGATAATTCCCTAAATTCAATAGATATTTGAAATAGTGTAAAAGTATAGTACTATTACTACTATTTTTAAGTGCTATATCCTCTTGGAATAATGGCTTTCTACAACTTCCTATTCTTTGTAGCTATAAGCAATGTTTATCACCTTACTACCCATCCCCAGTTCCTGATGTGTCACATATTTACAGTAGGTTATTCGATGTTTCCCTCTGCCCTTCAATATCAGTCCTGTGAGTGTCAGATCTCCAAGCCTTCTTTCTTCATTGTATCCCAGAAATTTTAACAGTCTCTTTATCAAAATAAAAACAAAAGTCAAAGCCCCTCATTTATCAAGTCAAACACATTTATAAAATATATAAAACTTATAAAACATATTTATTAAGTCATTATGATTGAAATTTTTTTGTTTCGGTTTTAAGATATTTGAAATTAGTCTTGTCTCTTTTGCCAATTGCTTTAGAACTTAATATTTTAGTTGTTAATGAGCTAATATTTTGATACTGGCAAACAGCTTATATACAATGAACAATGTTTAAGGCAATAATCTATGAAATGTCAGCTTTGACATGTTAAGCAATTTTAAGTGTTAAAGAGACTTGATTATTTCCTAACATGGATAAAAGGAAAAAAACTGAAATTTACAAAATCCACTTCTATTTACCAATTCTGTTCTGTGGAAACTTCACCTAATAGACTATTTGGGGTGAAAATTTGAGAGAATCTTAAACTTTTATCCCAAATAATTAATTTGAGCTTTTTCTACACCTGACCTCTTGTTTTTTTGGGGATTTTTTTTTTAAATTAGAAATGAGAAAGTTTTGTTTTAATCATTCTCTTAATTACAAATAGTTTTAATAATACAGTTCAATAATTGAACTGAAAAATCAAACAGGAGTCTTAAAAATCACCAATGTCTGCTTGACTGTATTATGCAAGTCCACTAAGTGTTGAAGTCAATTTTATTTGCCATCAGTGAGTAACATAAGTGTTTTCTTAAAGGCTATCCAAATGACAGTTTCAATTTTTCCCTTTTGAACAAAAGTAGAGGTTTATCCTTTGTTTCTTGTTCCTTCTAAAGTCTCAGTCTCTTTCATTCCCAGTAGCTTCTTGCGTGTTAGTGGCATTATTAACCTTGCTTGGTGTGAATGGAAAAAAGAAAAAAAAAATCTATATTATAGCCAGAAGAGAGTTAAACTCTGGGTAAAGCCAATATTTCTTCAATTGCTAATTCTCACACACTGTTGGGAGACTGATAAAATCTTCTTCCTCAACTTCATAGCAGATATCATAATGGCAATTCCTCCCTGATTTTTTTCATTCATCAAAGAATCACTTAACAGAGTACTGAATAATACAAGCATCCAATACATTGCTAATAAAGTGAGTATTGTACCAAGAAGAGTCTACCATCTACTTCATTAATCTACTAAAGTCACTATTATTTGCTTTGAACGTAGGATAAAACATTCAAAATATTTTCATGAAATTTACTGACTTAGTAGAACATTTAAAATAGAAAAAGATAATTTTAAAATGGGCCTTACCTTTTGCCCTCAGCCCTATGGATGGTGCACTGTTAGGCCGCACTTGGGGATGTAATGGAGAAAATGGACGCTGCACAGGTTGGTTTGGGTTCATTAAATTTGCATTAGCTTGGCTCCCAAGTTGAGACAGAAGGTTGAAGTTTGACATATCTGGCATTGGGGGAGGAGCAACCTGAAGGTAATTTGCTTGAGGGTGCAGACTGCTGTAGTTAGGACCAACAAAGGCAGGATTTAATGGGTGGGTAGCAAATATAGGAGCCTGGAGATTTCCAGAAGAGAGGTTTGCTCGGCTTAAGAACTGTTGATGGAGATTTCCTTGAGAGTTGGAAACACTTTTGAAATCTGGTGCAAGTGGGTTGAGAGTGCTGTCGATTTTAGGGAGGGTCATTGGTTGATTAGGGATTGTGTATTCTTCCTTCTGACTAGACATTACGGGAGCTAAGATACGCTGATGACCAGCTTCTAGGGGAACGACAGACCTAATAGGCCGGGGTGACAATCCTTGGTGCCCCATATTGTTTGAACGAGGTGACAGGGAACATGCCACTGTATTTGGCAGTGTGTCAGTGCTATTATGTATGGGGAGTCCATACTTATGAAATGTGGAGGCTTTAACGGGGTCCAAATCGGTCATGATACTATGCTGTGGAGAGTTTGTCCTCTGGCCATTTGGCTTATAGCCAGGTGCTTTGGCCTGCAAGGCAGCATCAATCTTTGGCTCAGCTGGGAGGGGTTTGGGGGTGCTCATGCACACCTGAGAGGGGACGCCCGAGCTGATTTGCACCCCAGCAGCAGCTACACTGGCAAAATTCATCCTTTCCCCGATGTGGTCGTCCTTCTTGCCTATTACCTGCTCGGCTACAACATTGCTGAACAAGTTGTTAAACGGTGAATATTCACTGGTCACAGAGACAGGAATCAAGACCGTCTCCGGAGAAAGCTGAGATTGGGCCATTGCATTCCCACTGCCTGTCCGCATAGAACAGTTGTGGTTTCCAGACCCTTGTACACCTGCAGGGGAGACAGGATTGGACACTACAAGATTTAGCATCTCTGGGGATTTCAAATTACCAATAAGCCTTGCCTTCATACCCGAGGATGTTGAAGGAGGCTTAATTTGGGGAGAATTAGTTGAGGAGAGGGTTTCTGTCTTTACTGTGCTTGTAGCAGAAGAGGTCACCAGTTTCAGACCCAGAGGAGCACTAGTGAACGTGACTGTTGCATGGGTAGTTGTTACAACTGCAGGCATCGTTGTAAGCACTCGCTTATCATTTGGAAACAACTGCCTAACAACTTTCGTCTCAGAAACAGCTGTGGTGACCACTGGAGCTGTAGAAGGAGGAGACCTTGCTGACAACTGCTGTTGCTGGGGTGGTTGATGCTGATGGCTTACACTTAAGGGGAAAAACATTTTTGGGTTAGGATTGTGCTGAGGCGAGTTGACAATTGACGATGAAGGTTGCATAGTTGTCCAGGCTTGAGACTGTGCAATTGGGCCTCCAGATGAGGGAACAGACAATGGTCGCTGCATAGTATTAGCTACACCAACATTAGAATTAGCCAAATTTGGCAATTGTTGTTTAGATGGCGCCACTCTCTGAACCTTGCCAGTGCTGTTACAGACCACTGAACACGAATCGGAGACTGACACCCCACTGGCAACATAAGTATTGCAGGTATGGCTAGAACTACCAGTGTCATTACCACCGCTGTTTATTCCTGAGCTTGTCCACTCGACAGGCAGCTGGGAAGGGGGTTGGGGAGAAGGTTGGGGTAGGGTTTGTCCAGACTGCTGTTGCTGCTGTGGTGGCTGTTGTATTTGCTGCTGCTGTTGCTGGCTCTGACGTGACGGCTTATTACTCTTGGGTAAAATTTCTGAAATATCTTTGTCTTGGTCAGACACTAGAGTCGCAATCAACATATGTGCTTGTCTTGTTCCTTCTGTAGAACCCCTGAGGATGAAAAAATAAAACAAATAAATAAAATCAGAAAAGTTTATTTATACAAATATTATTTCTTACAAAGTAAGAATGGAACTGTCCTTTTATGGTAGGTTAAGATTAATCCTTAAATATAATATGCCATATATATATATATATATATATATATATATATATATATATATATATGTGTGTGTGTGTGTGTGTGTGTATTCATCATTTTTTGCCTGATGAATTGAATAAGCATGAAACTGAGTTGCATTACAAACATAGGCATATGTTTTTATTAATATATACTTTATAGCTGTTTAACTACATTGAGCACTTTTGTTTATACCTTAAATTATTTATTTGCTCATCTGTATACGTACATTATCAGACACACATAGTTGCTAATATCCCATTATTTAGTTAAAATTCACACACACTAGTTTTTGTGTGTGTGTGTGTGTGTAACAATTGAGGGGCAGTGTGCAAAATTTTGACATGAAACACACAAAAGTCATCACCCCATACACATCCACATGCAAAAAGCTGCTGCACTGACAAACTACAATCAAAGTAGAAGGAATGACAGAAAGTAGCCATGGAAAGAAACATACACAACTGCAAAGAAGAAAGAAATAATAAAAGAAAGAGAGGTGGAAATAGAAAAGGGCTAGAGAGAGGAGATAAATACATGTCAGACAAAACTTGGCGAGGTTTATATTTTAGCTTGAATTAAACTCCACATTAAGGTACTTTTCTTTGAGGTATCTTGGATTGTCTGATAGACTATTACTAGTGATGATATTCCATTTTCGCAGCAAATTTAACTCCCAAGAACACACAAAGTGTGTCACAAAAGCATGCATACAAATGCTGTGCACATACACAATGAGGATAAAATACAGATATCTTTCCTGAGGTGTTTATAAATTGTACACTACTGTTAATAATTGAACAAAGTATTTTAAATTACAAAATTGTACTTGGATTAAATGAAGATTACTTACAATACATATTACTTATAATACATTCATTCTTGCCGTCAATTTTGATAGCACAGGTACACTAGTTTAAAAATAAAAACACTAAAATTTGTGAGAATTCGACATTTGAACTTAAAATAAAACATGCCTTATAAATTTTATATTGAGAACATAGAACACACTCAACAATTCAATATAGTATGAAAAGTATTAGTATCAGACAAGTACTACATATTCAGGTTTCTCTCAGAATTCCTGGAACAAGGAGTTAGTACTGACACCTGGACTAATGTCTTTTCTTTATTGTTATTAGCTTGTCTTGGTTAATTGTTCAGCTAATGCTATAAGTGAGTTCCAACCATGGGCCAAGTAATACAGATAGACTTGACAGAAACAGGAACAGTAATAACTTGGATGATTAACCCTTAAAAATTAATATGGACAACAGAATGTGAGTAATCGACCATTGTAGATTGAATAAAGAGTTTAGTTTGAAATTCCCTGAAGGTTACCCAGATCAAGAGACACCTGAAGAAAGTTGGAAAGCAAAATGAATGGAACTGTGATCGTTACAATAAATATGAGGACAATAAACCAAATGTAAATAGTATTCAGAAAGCATCTTAAGTACAGAGTTAAAAGCAAGTCACTTTTCCCACATAAATGGCAAGGCAATGCACTTGTATAACAGATAATATACCATTCACCCACTGATATAATACTTGCATACATAAGTGGTTCAACTCAATAATGCACAATCAGAGTTCACTGACATTTCAGAAACAAGAATTTAACCATATAAAAATTGCCAACTATAAAATTCTGATGATATAATGGATCTGGATAGTATGGTGATTGCTCTGATCTTTAAAATGTTTTCCCATAGCAACACTGAAAACATTAATCCCATAAACCATTTATAGATCTGTGGGTAGCAAACTTACCTCAGTGTAAATTATTTTGATTTTTTTTTATAATTCTAAAAAAACAAGGTGGTACTTTATCCTTTATTTATTCATTTGTTAGAAAAGTGCAAAAAATTAAGATTGTCATTCTTTTGATAATTGTTATCTTACAATAGCACTAAGAATAGAAAACAGCCTTACCTGATGGTGATCAGCCTATCACCAGAACCTTTTTGTTTTTCAACTTCTATGTGGGCACCTGAGGCCTCTCTGATGGCATTGATATTGGCCCCACCACGCCCAATTACTCTGCTAATGGCTGAGGCAGATACAGTGATTTTCTTAGATCTGGCAAAAGAGTTATGAAAGACTTTAATCAGTCATTGATTAAAAAAAAAAAAAAAAAAAAAAAAAATGCTTAATTAAAAAAACAAAACAAAAAATATATATATATATATATATATATATATATATATATATAATTAAAAAATATACCATATATACTCATGTATTGTGCAATATCAGACAACGTCCCAAAATTTTCACTTATAAAAAATGATTTTATCATGTGAGCTACTTTTCTGAGAGACCAAATTACAATAAACCAATCTCTTTTCTTCTCTCTGTTTATCCCATCTTCTAGTTAAATAACTTAAAATTGTAAAAGAGAATGATAAAAGTATCCTTAGTCATGTTATATTCATTGTATAACCGCATACAGCCATAAACAACCAAACAAGAATCAGCTAAACATCTTATACACATAAACAACAAAGATGCATATTCACTATGTTTGTATTTTATATGATACTAATATGTGAATATTACATGTATTATTATTATTATTATTATTGATACAGTTAAGTAAAACCTCAGTTTTATCAAAGTCATGTTTATTCTAAATACAGCTGTACTTTTTTTTTTTTTTTGTAAATGAATATATAGTTTGGTCAACGGCATACACAGGGCCAGCTGCACATATGCTAATTTCATATGGTACTTAAATACTAAAAAAAAAAAAAAAAAAAAAAGAAGATTATATATATATATATATATATATATATATATATATATATATATATATATATATATATAAATACACTTAAATAATTAAAAAATAAACATACTTAAATAGAAAAAAAATTACTTAAATACTTTAAAATTTTTTTTTTTTTTTTAAAAGACCTTAAGTAGTTATCCAAACCCTCTGCATAGACAAATCTGATAAATAGAATTATTAAAACAAATTGAAGGGAAGACATTTTGAAGACAAAATTCCTGTTATTACAAGAGTTATCCAAGACTCATTGCTTTTGTTTCCACAGCATTTTGCCCAACAATTCTACAGCCTTCTCCTAACAATCAATCTTATCTTCCTGAAATGGTAGCAAACAGAAGAGAAATATAATCAACTGGTTTACCTCATTCACAGCAAGCAAGCCATTGCCAATACCATTTTATCAACCCTTGTGTAATACAAATTATTTCATATTTATACATGGGCAGCTCTTTAAATCCTTGCCCAACTGACCATTTTTCAGTGTCATTCCATTCTGTAGAATATAGACACCCCCTCATGCTTTATAGAATAGATTGTATACTTCAAGAAGGCTGTAAAATGAATGAGCCAAAATGCTATGGTAAAAAAAAGAAAAAAAAGACAATATGTCATAAAATGAAAAATGATACGATTCTATATTATTAGAAACTTTTAGTCCTTACTTTCTTACAACTTCTTTCCAGCCATCTTCTTTCTTCTGCCCTCTCTTGGGACTTTGAATATTTGAATGAAGATTCTTTAGCATAAGGACACCTGAACTTTTATCTGTTGTAAGCGCTAAACTATCAAAAGAATCTCTGTAAAAGAGAAAAAAAAAAAGGAAGTTGTAGAGAGACATGATTGTCCATGTCCTGAAGAGACACAGTACATAGAAGAAACTAGATATACTCAGTAAAGCTTCACTGAGTGTGCTTAAACACATTTCAATGAATATTTACTTAGCTAAAAGATAATAAATTTAATAGTAACTTGTGATATAGTTTTTGGCCAATATTCTTCTGCTAATAGGACAGAGAATATGACTTAATTCTTTGGTCAGGATATAGAGATGTCATTTATTTGGACAGATAATGCCAGACAAATAGACAAATTTTCTTTTGCAATCATTGAAGTTAAACATGCAACAAAGCCATTCTTATATAAATATAATATAATATAAATATAATATATATATATAATAATATATATATATATATATAATAATATATATAATATATATAATAGGTATATAATATACTTGTGCTTGTCTGACCAGTTTTGATCACACTGTAAAGCAGAGTATGAGTTAGTTTATATATGCACCCCATGGTCAAAGCCATATAATCATGACATCACAAAACTAATTTACAAACTGAATCACATTGTGTCATTGACATGCCACTGTTAACCAATTTTTGTTAAACCATACTACTAAATACAATAGAATTTTTATTTCAAATGAACACAAAGTTAAAAATACAACATTAAAAGCAAATACGGCAGAAAAAGGAAAAAGCCAAATTCTGAACTTATTCGTGATATGTCTGAAGAAAAATTGCTGGAAATTATTCTCTTACTTTGTCATGATTAATTTAAATTCTAATTAAATATTATTTATCAAATATTAGAAAAAAAATGATAATAAATGCAAGATTTTAACAAAATATTGGTTTTTCATATACATGCTTAAAAATTAGGAATACAAATAAAACCAAGAAAAAAAAAATTATGTTTAGTAAAAATAAAAATTCTTACATTGAGGATTTTTTATCAGAATTTTTTGTTATTTTTTCAATATCTCTTTCAGATATCTTCATACAAACATCTGGAAGAGTCCCAAAGTCATCCAAATCTCCTATGGCTGCAAGGAGAAAAATAAAAATAAAATTAGAAAAAGACAAAATTAGAAAAAAAAAGACAAAACTAGTTTTGCAATTTAAAAAATTATATTTTTTTGTTTTTAATAATTTAACTTATGGAACAGTTACATTATTTTACATTGTCACAAAAATCAGTTGAGAAAGATAAGCAACTTATGACTTTCAAAATCCACCTCTCCATCCCACAGAAAAAAAAAGTCTTCAAGTTATTCCAGAGCAGAAATTACTTATCTGAGAGCTAAGCAAAATTTGAATTCATGCTAGCAGTCTTAGTAATCCAAACCCAATGTCCAATAATATAATCATTGGATTATCTCACAGCATGTGTATTAAAACCAGAAAGTTAGCTGAGCACAAACTACTGCTTTCTCATTTTTACATAATTGTTAATTTACCTATCTTTGCCATCTGTAGTACAAATGACAATAGTCACTAGAGTGTGCAAGAGGAACAATACTTTTGACACAACTGAAATAGACTGGCCACTTTAACAAAAAAAATTCTTTTAGAAATAATTTTTATATATATCAGGATTCAGCAATGTTTAAACCTTTGTGCTTACAAAAAAAAACAGTTCATCAAAAGGGTGGTTATACCCTTGGCACCATTATTATTTTATACACTTTACTCCCTCAGTTATGTCTATTATTTCAAAAACTAAGGATTAGAATTTTAATAAATCCCAAACATATGCAAATGGATAGAGAATGGATAACAAAGATATTAAACACTATTAGATTTCTTATTTGCAAGAATAATTTTATATTTAGAAGATAATAAAAATATGTGAACCAACTATAATAAAATATTTACCATTTTATAAAGAAATAGGAAAAGAAATCTTTTTTTTATAAATTTATGAAAATGTCTGAACAAGAAAATTTAAATAAAAACTATGAGTAAATGTAATTAGAAATTTTGAAAAAAATGAATTTTCTGACCATTTTTTTTGTCATATAAAGTTATAAGTTTTCCTAGTCTATAATTCTCAAAGTGTGTGTGTGTGTGTGTGTGTGTGTGTGATCAGAGTTTGTTTATGCATTTCCACAGTTTTCATCCGATTTTGATGAAATTTCTTTTGTTTGATAGATAATTCTTCAGTGCTGGTTTTGAGTCCAATTTGTTGGTAACAATGGCTCTCCACTACTTCCTGTTCATTATAACTCTCAGCAACATTTTACTATTTACTATCTGTTCTTGGATATACATCTTTCATAAAAACTTTTTAAAAAATAAATAGTTTAAATTATTACATTATTATTATTATTATTATAATACAGTTCCCTTTTCAGCCCCCCCCCCTTCAAATTGTTAACCCTAAATTTGGGGATGTTCCTCAGTTGCACCCAAATGTTGTTACTAATATTGATTTTCGGGTGGGCTGACTTTAAACTTAAACTGCTCCAATTAAATGGCAAAAATTCCCAATAATGAAAGATCCGATCGAAAACAGGTTATACTGCTAGTTACTTATAAAATTGTAAATAAATTTTGCATTATAGTCGATTTACATATTTCAATTTATTTCTTTATGAAATGGTAAATAAATCTTTATAAAAGTTAAATAATATTGTATTATACTGGGTTCACATTTTTATAACCTCATAAATAAACAATGACAAGGGAGTTAAAAGTGTATACAATAATAGCAGTGTCAAGGGAATAACTGTCCTTTTTGACACACCATATTTTTGGTGAGCATAAAGGCTAAACAATGCCCAGCATTCTTTACTCTTTCCTTAGTCCACAACACTTGTAGAATTGAACATTTTTTTTCTCCCCTTTTTCTTTTTTTTTTTAAAATCAATTTAGAAAGGTGTCCTGTTCATAATATTGATACAGTCTCAAATCGATCCCTGATATTTATAGTTATTGGTTTTGCATATAAAAATACACTTTTTAGGGGGAGGGTTACAAAAAGATTTTTTTCACAATTGAGCCAGTTTATTTAAGCAGTGTCATACTTATTAATTTTTTTGTTACATAGCAAAATAGACTTGTCTATAGCCTGGGTTTAGGTAAGCTCTAACACTGGGGTGGGTTTAGTGACATTAACCTGACTGCTTCCTGATGTGTACATATGTATACACACAAGATTTTTTTTTTTTTCTTTTTAACTGTTTATCCACGATTCTAAACAGCAGTTACTACCAACCAAATATCCGATTTGTAAATCCCTTCTACTAACCTGAGGGTGTAGAGTTTATATGCTCTTTCTTCTTTTTCTTACTGCCACCGCCACCTCCTCCTCCACCACCACCACCACTACCACTGCCGCCGCTGCCACCAGCTCCACCATTTGAAGAGCTAGTATCTGGCTCCTTGTCCCCATTAATATTACTTATGGACGTTGTCAAAGTTGAAGTCGTTTGACTGGCAATGGTGGAGGACACAACAGTGGGAGTTGCGTTTGAGGTGTTATTCCCAACTGTGCCACTGTTTGTATTGGAAGCGTTTAATTTGGGAGGTCGACCATCCGGGGGTTTGTCTTTCACCTTGTTCTTGCCCCGTTTGTTTTTACGGAGTTCGTAGTTCAGACAAGTCACCGTCATTGGGTTATTGACGACCTTAGTTTGGTAATTCCGATAACGTTTCATTTTGGCTTCGGTAATCACACAATTGGTTATTGTACCTGCAAAGAAATACATTTAAAACAGATGATCTATATCACTATAGACGGTTTTCTGACACATCAAATACTGTATGTGTGTGTGTATATATATATATATATATATTGGCGAGATTGTTTATTCAAAAACCTTTTAGTATTCAATGGAATGGCTAAGTTAATACAATTCATCATGTTCACTCATATTATGAGTTCAATCCCTAAGCAAGCCAGTGAAAGAGTACAATGGTTTGGTGAAAGAACTATCAGAATAAACTGGTAGCTGAGGGTTCTAATTCCTCAGAAAGATGCAAGATGTGACAAAAATATAAGAGATGAGAAAATATCTGCTCTGAATGAAACAATGTGTTTCGTTTAAACAAAACCTCAAAAGAATGTTCCTTGTAATCATTTAGTTAAAATAAATAACTTATGCGAGTCCAAAAACTCGGTAAGCAACTCAAGTTGGTTGGACAGAAAATCTTTTTACTTTCTATGTTCACCATTATTTGCAATGATCTTTTGACACTTATCAGACAACTCTTTGATACTTTTGGAGCAAAATTCTGCAGGTCTAGAGGTGAAAAAGTTTGAGAAAATCTTTGATCTGGTTTTCATTAGAATTAAGTTTTCCTTATCAAAGCATTTTGCAGAAATCAAAAAAGTTAATAACCAGTTGTTTTTTGTTTTTTTTTCCTATTGACAATCACAGGACATTTTTCAACCAAACCTTTATGGACATGTTGCTGGACTCATAAATTTTCATTTAATGTTTCACCGTTTTAAAACATTTAAATGTATACAGGAAGGGACAACTCAACACTGCTAAATCAACACCAGAAAAACATTACATTTTTATAACCAAATAAAAGTAATTTATTAAGGATTAAAGCCTTAATTAGTGAATATTTTTTTAAATTATTTTTAATAAAGTAATTTATTTAGTTTTTAATAAAATAAAAATATTCACTAATATGCAGACTTGTCCCAGTGTTGAGTGTTCCTGCACCCAAATGAATACCCCAATAATCTCACCATATGAACAACATTGCCTTTCTTCCATAGAGCTCAGCATTGTAGAAAGTTTCTCTTGTAAATCTTCTGAATTGAACATTGTCATATGTAAATATCATCCAAAATTTATTCTTACCTTCCATGTCTGATTAGTAGTTAGGATGATACATTTGCCATTACAATTGGTAACCAAAAACAGAAATTACTTATCATGCAACCTAATCGAATTATTATTTTTTTTTTTTTTTATTTACTCTGTTTCACTGCACAAGAGGGACATTGAAAAGTTTTCAGCCTAACTTCCCAAAATTTGACCAAAACTTTCCTTCAAAGGGAAGCTGAGGAATTTTCAACACGTCTCCTCCTCCTATGTGATTTTTTGTTCAAGTGAATTCATGAGCATCATTAAACAAGCACTGAGAATACATACAGCCTTATACTTTACTAATGAGCTACACTTCAAACAGCTAAATATTTTCCCCTCAGCCAACGTTATTTAAAGACTAAAAAAATAAACCAAACATTTAATAAAGACCATTTTGAGAATTAATCTAGCAATCAAAAACAAATTTACCAATTGTAGTTGTAGTAGTAGCAGAGGGAGGCTCGAGAGGTACTAATTCCTCCTCTTCTTCCTCCTCCTCTTCCTCCTTTGGTGTACTATTCAATTCTGCAACAGGAGAACTGTTTTTCCTGTAAAGAAAAAGAAAAACAAAAATTAAAAAAAAAAAAAAACAAAGCCAACATATATAAGAAAAGATTTAGCAATGGATTGTTATTGAATTATTTAATATTAACTCCAGTCCTTTGAAGTTCTTTATCCAGAACCAAATATATAAGATAAAAATCACAATGCATTAATAGTTTCAATATCATCAAGAATATTTCCATAATTTTTGCAATACAAAATAGTGTATTTAGGCAGCAATCCCTCTTTTTATACACATTTTCATTAAAAAAATGATTGGCAAGATTCTGTGGTTAAGTTTTTTTTTTATTTAATTTTTCAGGTGTTCTTATTCTTTTTTGGACATAAATTATATAGAAATCATCATGATTTTCTGAACACTTTTGGCTATTCTTTTAGCCATTATCAATAATAAAAAAAATAGCTGAAAGTGTTCAGACAATTTCTACATAATTTAAGTCCAGAAAAGAAAAAAATTATAAGAGCACAAGAAAAATTAAATAAAAAAACTTAACCACAGTACCTTGTGAGTTATTTTTAACAATGTTTTAGTTTATTTTATTTTGTCCATCTATTTTTTTCAGCCTGAACATTAAGAAATATTATTAAAGAAAAATATATGCACACATTAGAATACAAAACTGTGCAGATATGAAGATTTCAAGAGTCTGAGAACGATTTGTGTTTATAAGGCACTACTCAACTCTACTTGATCGCCAATGCACTCGTGGCCAAATCAGTCAAAAGAACAGCAGATCTAATGACAGTTTCTCCTGCCAAGGTGGGTGCAGACCCCAATACTCCCAGAAAGTTCATATTTCTATTTAATAAGATTTCTTGAATGTTAAGGCCAGTAGATGAGAATAGATAAATATACTGCTTAATAAATAAATGATGCATTTACTCAAATATGGGTAGACACTAAAAATAACATTGAAGTAATAAAATCTGTCAGATTACTAAAAAAAAAAAAAAAAAAAATCCATCACTTATTTATATATGTTATATATCAAATATATGAACACTAATGAATATGTCCCAATCCTCATAAATACAGTGGACACTATTGTTAGTGGGGGTAATATACCGTCTAAGTAGTCCACCACGAGCAGTGGTTTACCTACTTCACATTGCTGGCAAGTATTGTATTTTTCTGATGTTATAAAGATTACCATTTCATTTCCAACATCCATTTTGGTTATATTCCTTATACAGTAACCCTTTCTATGTTACAACACATATATATATAATCCATTTAAGCATTAAATAAAAAAAAATTAAAAAAAATCAATACACCTATATTTTATGAACATTTTAGAAAAGCTCAGTATATTCAAGAAAAATTTGCCTGAAAAGTTTTGTCTGTGACACCAGAAACAGCGTTGCTACATCATCTTTTGACAGTCACAGCCAAAAGATTGAAAAAAAAAAGGAAGAACAGGACTAATACAGAGAGTATAAAGAGACAAGGAAATTATGAAAAGAAGAAATAACAATGTTGTACGCACACATAAAAACATACATACATACAGAGAGAGAGAAAATAGAATCAACCTAAAACCTTTAAAAAGCAGATAAATTATTTTTTTTTTTCTAACTTAATAAAAAAATAATGAAAATGAGAAAATCCACAGAGAACTGCTCATATTTCCAATTACACAAAGGTTCATCTATGAAGCTCAGGAGTAGAGGTGGTGAATATAACATCAATCAGCTAAGTGACAAATTTTATATTTGTATTAATTATATATATATATATATATATATATATATATATATATATATATATATGAATAATAATATAGCTTATTTAAATCTGTACTTGAACTTTTCATAGAATCCTCAGCAGATTTTATTTTCAGATCTTTTTTTTCTCTACTTTATAAACATACATTATTTTCATAATGATATAAATGATTTAGGAGATAAGTGTATTAAATATTATAACATTGAAAGCCACCATGAAATCCTTATTCACCAAGCGTAGCCTGGGGTCAAATATTTGGCAAGCATACTCCAACATTGACATTCACTATTAATAGCAAAAATAGCCCACAAATACGAGGCACCTGATGTAGATAGGACTTTTTAGAATAGTAATGGTCGAAGGTAATTTCAAACCATTTACACACAAGACATTCAACTAATCTTTCCTTAGATAGTCCCTAGTTTACAATAGGGAGGCACTCATGTATTTTTTTTTTTTTTTTTTCTCTCTCTTTTAAGTGTACTCACGCATTGCTTTCCTTCTCCTTTTCCATTTTTTCCTTTTTCTTTTTCTTCTTTCGTTCCCTGCGTTTAGCAGCGGCCGCCCTCTTGCTCTCTTCCCATTGCCTTTCTTTATCAAGTTCTTCCAGCAAGATGGTCGCATTCTTGTTGGCCTCTGCTGCCTGCCGGTCTTTGGCACTCACAATTATCTCCTTACATTGCCGACATTTCTTGTTGAGTTCCTGAAAAGAAACAATAGACAATGAGAATTTTGGCAAAATTATCTTTCAAACTGAGAGACCTCATTGCTATATTATTTTTTAAATTGGTTAAAATTAACTCCTTCAATCACAGTGTCATTTTTATCTAGGGATCATAAAAGAAAGACAATTAAAAAATTCTCTTTGGGATATTATTTGTCATCCTGTTTAAGTATCAATGACAGATCTTGACTTAAAATGCAGAATATTCAATTCTAATAATTGATCAAGTTTGGGGAGAAAAAGAAAAAAAAAAAAATCAACCCACTGGTAAGTTGTGTTTTAAAAGTTATTTTCTATTTATTTCTACTTTTGAATTCTTGCTTTTTAGAAGCCATCAAAGTGTTGACAGGATAAACAAGTACTGGCACAGGATGTCCACCAAATTTTCACAAAAGTATATCCAAAATCAAGAAAGACACAACCCACTTAATTCACTGTGAGTATTGATAAAAAAAAAAAAAAAAATTCTTTTTAAAAAAAGTTGAAAAAATTGAAAAATTAAAAAAAAATTTTTACCCCCCCACCCCACACACACACAAAAAAAACCCAATCTACAAAAAATTTGCCTTTAAAAGTCAAATCTAGTCGTCTTTCTCCAATGTTAAAATTTTGCTCGAAAATTGTGGTTTTTGGATTCCAAATCAGCATTTATTTAGTATACAGATACTATTTTCAACCAACCAGTTTATACAAAAATCAAAAAGATTGACATAGATTAATAGTCATTCATATGAAAGAATAACCAAGACAGTTTTATTGACATAATTTGCAAGGTTTTTAAGGTAACAAACTATTTACCTTAACATCCCTTAAAAAGTCAATCACGATTGTTGAAACATTTTGCTGGAAGGAGAAACTTAAAAGTAATCAAATCAACAAACGATATTCCTTAAAAAGCAAACCATAATTCCAACATTTCAAAATTTATAGCAATAAACAAAACACATGTCTTCATCTAGTCTTAAGTTCTTAAACAGAAGTAGGTTTATTTATCTTTGGACTATTGTCTTTATCTTTGTTTATATTATCACAATGTTTTGGCTGCTGTGCTCTCCAGCCTTCTTCAAGGAATTTTGAACTGAACAAAGATGAGGACAATAGTTCAAATGTAAATAATGATAACTCCTCCTCCTAGAAATTTATACAAAAAGTAGAGTTAGTAATTTTCTTCAAATAAAATCTAATCTGTCAATCATTGTTCAAAACTTTCACATTTCTAAAAAAAAAAGATTTAGATCTAGTCTTTAGCAAAGAACTTAAAATTCAGTGCCAAAAATAAAATCCCAAAAAAGAAAAACATATGAATAGGTTATGATCATCCCAAAAAAGAAAAACATGAATAGGTTATGATTTTCTGATAAATACAAGGAAAGTTATCTTGAAAACTGATATTTAGTGTCTGGCATAATCTGATGAAAGCAGATAGTGCTCAATTTAGTGTATGAAAGGAACTAAGTAAATTTTAAATAGCATCCCAAGAATAATCTTTTTACATATGACAAATTGTTTTAATACAGAGTGATTGAAAAGTAACTCCCCATTTTATGTATGAGTGGTCAGCCAGGAGTCCTAACTTAACACCCTGTGACTTTTTCTTTGGGGGTTGGTTAAAGGAGCAAGTCTACCATACCAAGAATTTGGAAGAACTTAAAGGTCAAATACAAGAATTTCTGTCTTCCATACCACAAGAGTTCTTGGTGAAATTGGCTGACGTGATTTCTGGGCAGCTCAGGAAACTAGTAGCGAAATCTGGTGCCCATATCAAATTTTAAATAAAACCTTATGCTAAATGCTTGCCTCTCATATCTATTTCTTGTAAACATTATAGTTAATAAATAAGTATTTTAATATGGGGAGTTAGTTTTCAAAGTTACACTAAAACAGAGAAAAAAATTTTGTCTCAAACATTCCAAATTGAATGGCAAAAAAGCAGGTAAAATATGGCAAAGAGTTGTTAATTTGACTGAATTTTGTGTTGTATGGTCCCAAAATCTACCCAATATAAATCATTTTTGAAAAGGAACGTCTATCACTTCTAACATTCATTTCTTGATTTTCCTAACAAAAAAGTCCGAAAAAGCAACTGTCCAAATCTTATCAAATAATAAAGCATTAAATGTGTGAATTTTGATTAACTCAAATGGTCATTAACTTGACAAATACTTTGAGTTAGGACAAAGTTTGACCAGTTCTGAAATCCTGAGACTGTCTAATTTCAGTCTAGATATAATACATATCACTTAGAAAAGGTTCCAAAAATACCCAATGTCTGTCTGTGAGCCCCACTGTGTTCTACAATGACTACAGAAAATGAAAGGTGTGTGTGTGTGTGTGTGTGTGTTTTTTCATGTATACTTCTTGAGCAGAGAGAAATCCAACAAGACAATTCAAGAAAAGAAAGCAAAATACTTACTGGATCAGTAACTGTGCTAATGTAACGTTGGAGCTCGTTGTCCAGAGGAAACTGCGTGACATGTTTGACCATCCACTTGACCACTTTTATGTGTCCCTTACGAAAAGCAGCAACTAAACAGGAAACTTTACGGTTGTCATCACTGTCAATGTCAGCCCCATGTGTAACCAATAACTGAACTACATCAAGATGGCCACCTGGAAAAGGAAAACAGTTTTTAAAACAATAAGGCATCTGAAAGGATTATATTTCTTTTTTATATTTATGATCAGTTATCTTCTCAATCCACTACAGACCTTGGGTTTCCCCAAGGAAACCTCTTAATCACCAATGCTAATGACAGATGAACAACAATTGCTAGATGGTCGTTGCTGTTGAGTCACTAGACATGACAGCAGGATAGCCAAGCCCAAATGACTCTAAACAGGGGGGGGGATCAACACCATGCCTGTCTCCATCCAAAAATTGGTAAGGAGGCAGCCTTTAAGGATGGATCAATGTCAAAAATTGATAAGATATTGTCTATAAAGAAGCTCTAAGAAATTAATAATTTTCTGTAATTCTGTATTTTTTGTAATTCTAACATATTCCCATGAACTCGCAAAAATAGTGAAAATAACAGTTTTCTTTCAAAATGACTTGATTAAAACAAAGAAAAAAAAAGGGTGTGTTCTTGTAACTTTTGCGTACTCTACGTTTTAAAACACTGATAAAATTTTAAAACAGAACCAACAAATTTTTTTTCACTTTAAACTCTCCTGATTAAAACAAAAAGATGTTGATGCAATATATTTTTTTTCGGGAGAAGAATATCCAAAATTATTTACTAAGTTTAGCTTAATCTGGCACTGAATGAGAATAGTCATAATGTTAAGACAATAGGTCCCTCCTACATGATTGGATAAGGACAGCCACCCAGAAGTGGATGGTAAATGATTTTATCTTGGCCTGAAATGATTTATGTTTTTTATGACTACGACAACAATAAAATTTACAAAGTAAGATTTTCAAAGTGGCAACACACTGACCAAAAGGAAATTAAATAGATAAATGAAAATTTTCAGAAACAAGTACCACTTGAACAGAGGTTACAAAGTTTGTCATGCAAGCTTATATAAACAATTACAGTTAAAATTGAGAGCAATTTCAATGTTGGGCATTGGAGAGGTACAGATCAGGTCAAGTTGCAAGCTGTGTGCCATGATGTAAAGATGGGAATAGTGTTGGTGAGATAGAGAGAGAGAGAGAGAAAGAGAAAAGCCAAAGAGAAAAAAATCTGATCTGTTAGTCTGTTGTAACAAAAGTAACAGAGATTGTCCCAAGTGTCACCTAGCCACTCCACCCCATGTAAGTGGAACCTCAAATAAACAACCAAATATATCAGCAACAGAATCCAGGTCTTCATTTCTCAGCATGGTATTAATTTCACTCTCCATTTTCCTTGTAAATATACACCGAGTCTTTCCGTTTTGTGCATACAAAAGGAATTGGAATTAAACAATTTAGAGATATTTTTACATTCAGTGAAAAGCAAAGAGAGGGACCTAATGTATGTTTACATTAATAGTCTGAAAGTTTAGTTTGCAATAAAAAAAAAAAAAAAAAAAAAATAAAAAAACTCAACTTTGTACCAAGGTCAATTAATAAAAGTCAATAAGCTTTTTTTAAAAAATTGAGAAAAAAAAGAAAAGAAAAAAAATTAAGAACTCAAAGTTCTTCATTTTTAGTCAAGTTTTCCTAGCTTTCATATAATTTTTGAAAGGAAAGACCAAAGGAAAGACCAAAGGAAAGGAAAGACCAAAGGAAAGGAAAAAAAGATTACTCAATATATGTGAGAGTTACATCTGGTTTCATTTTTAGATATCCATCCTATAGAAGAGTAGAGTTGTATTCAGCCTGAACAAAGTTAAATATTAAAGAGACTTACCATTACAAGCGAGCCATAGTGGAGAATTGCCCTTTTTATTCTTCACATCTACAGCAGCATGCCTAAAAGCAAAGAAAATCAGCAACTTTTCAAATATTTAACATCAATTATTAAGAAGCCACCAGAAAATAGGACAAAAAAAAAAAAAAAAAAAGCGCTTTAATTTCAAACAAAATTATCTTTCATCTTATTTTTTAGTGCTGGTATCTAAGCAAAATAAACAGGAAACAAAGTAGCCATCAACAAGAATTGAATGTCCTGTATCCTTAAGAGTCCACATGACAGTGACTATGCCTTTACCAATTTAGCTACATCAAATTGGTAAAGGCATAGCCTTACTGATTCAACAGCAGAATACTTTGATTTAAGAAGTTGATCTGTGGCGACCCCAATATGTACTGGGTTGAGCTAAAGTAACCTCATAATCATCAAGTGCAGAATTGGGCCTCAAAGTATGTCAGCAGCTGGGCCAACAGGAAGTTAACCCAACTGAACTTACACACACAAGACAACTGGATGACAGGAAGTTATATAAATGCCCAACCCACCTAGGGAAAGGTAGAGCCACTCATATGTGAGCAAGATTGAACCTACAAAGAAAAGTTCCCACATACCAAATTCGACAGAGTCTAGAAGTGAATAAACAATTATCTTATGTATGAAAAATTTAGTCTCATATTCCTATCAGATATTACTAAAATGTTACATTACAACTGACAGTTTAAAAGTGAAAAAAAAAACTAAGGATTGAAAAACATGAAAGAATTATCTTTAGAAAGGGAAAAGATTAAATTTTCTTTACATACTAATTTTATCAAAATACAGGATGAAGCAGAAATACCTCCCACACAATGGTAAGACATTAACTAGATAAAGACACCATTGCCACTTGCCAAAGTTCACTAGCACCACACAGGTGACACTTTAAAATGTGGGAGGTATTTCTGCCACACCCTGTAGCATTGAAAATAAACAAAATAAATTTCACTATTTTGACACGTTTTCACAATGTAAACTAGAGAAGTTTGGGATATGTCAGATTTTTATCAGAAATTACTAAATTCTACATTTTAACATGGGGGTGTTCTGATCCCATAGATTCTTGTCTACCTCCCAAAACAAGACTGCCCTTCAGCGTAGTCTCATCTGGGTTCCTCTAGGCATGGAGGTAGAGTGCTCGACCCCATACTCAAGCATTCATAGCTTAATGATGGATATTCATTGATCACAGTATCCACATCAAAGCCAACAGCCAATCAAAACCTAGTGAATAGGCTTTCCCAAATAACAGAATGGAACATCCCAGCCTGTTATATAAGCCACTCACCAACTGGCGCAGACGATCAGTTGTCAAGCAGACTCAACTTGCAATACAATCAAGTACTGGTCTGTTTGTCCAATAAATCCTACAAGTTTGTTTTATGGAGTCAAAAATTAGAGATATATTTCCACCTGTAGATAGATAAACTATTTAGAACTACAAATTATAAGTATTATTCTAAATCAAAATATACAAATTACTTCAGATTCTATTGCTGGCTTGCAAAGATGAGCCAATGAATTTCTTGAGGTCCTGTTAGTGGACAGAATTGGGACTTACCTTGAGAGCAGCAGTTCAACAAATCGATAATGACCTTTATCGGCAGCAATGGTCAGTGCAGTATCTCTTGAGGATGGCACAGGTGCTGCATTCACATCAGCTCCTTTATCCAGCAATACTTTTCCGACTTCTACATAACCACCAGAAGCAGCTTCCATCAGTGGAGTAAGACCAGTCTTCATTAGGAAAAGAGTAAAGATTTCCATTATAATTTAGAAGAAAAATAATCGTTTTAAAAATAGACATTTACACACAAAATTCATGCACAGTGTCCCATAAGAAAGTGAATAATTATCAGCCTTACCTTGGCACGATGTTCAATATTTGCTTTTCTATCCACCAAGAGGCTTACAACTTCGTGTCGTCCTTGGAAACAGGCTAAAGTCAAAGCCGTATTCCTGTTTGTCTCAATCTTTAATCAAGGTAAAAAGAAAATTAGGCTTCAAACAAATATTTTATGAATATATAAAATGCTGATAAAACAAAAACAAGAGAAATTCTACACAGACTGCAGAAGTTTTAGTAACAAATGATTATTGTGAAAAGGAAAAATGTTGGAACAATAAACCCATGAGAGTAAGATTTTTCAAAAAGTTCATTTTGAAATTAAACTCAAAATCTTATTGTTTATGTCATTCTTCTACTGGCTTAAGAAAAGGTGAGAGAGGACTTTGCTTCACTTTATAACAAAGCTTTCAGATGCAGTAATGAACAAACATCTTGTCCTCTGTCAAGGTTGACTAAAGTCATAAGTTTTTCATGCTGCCACTGCCTGCCAAGCGTTCGCTCAACTACTCTCTACCAATTAGGCTACTAATAAACAATTTCAAGTGATGGGGTAAACAATGTAAACCTCTTTAGATGATATCTGAATTAGCTTTGTTGATAGTTTCCTGTTCTGGTTATTACATTTTATGACAACATTTTTTAAGACCTTTGAAACTTTGAAATAATAACCATTCACAGCTTCCATAGATTTCATAAAAATCCATTCTTTTAACCACTTGAGGCCAAGATATCAATAAAAATTTCTTGTCAGCTGCTCCAAGACAATCCTGGCTTTCACAACCTTTATCATCATCTATTGTCTGGCACTGTACTACAGGGCAAATTCCATGTGTAGTGATTCCCAGATTCTCACCAGTGAGGAATTCAGCTGAAAGACAATAACTATATTGTTTTGACTGGTTTCAGACTAAATTCACAGATGGGATTAAACTACTGGCAATATATCCAAGGCAGTGATGAAATAGTATCTCTGGGTGTCAAGTTGCCACAACGGAATCAACAGCCACACGTTCATGAGCTCTGAGGTCAGAGGACACCGATCAGTCTGACCCGAGGAATGGGTGCTGCCAAGTCTACTTACTAAATACATGCTACACATAAATGAATGCCTACCAAGATGTGGAGAGGTATGTATGGTCAGGTGCTTGGCTGCATAGTGACACTACAGCCACAACCAGTCATGAGAAAACTACTACTAATGATGATGATCCATCTTAAATCATTATCAGATTCACTACCAGAGTAAAAAAAAACAGAAAAAAAATCCTCATGATATATCTTGTCAGTTGTTCACAAGTGGTGAAAAACTTATTTTTATGAGAAACATTGGCCACTACCAATTGAAAAGCTTTAAATTATCAAATTTTATATATATATATATATATATATATATATATATATTAAAGACATTTTTTTTTTTATGTTTAACGTTATGTTTTTATGTTTTAATAAATAAATTGTCGGACCTTGTCCATTTCTTAATATATATATATATATATATATATATATATATACACCATAAGATTTCAAGAGCAGCACAAATTGTGGCAACTGTCACAAAACTAAAAACCAGATGGAAAGGCAATGTCTGTCTGAAATTAAAGATCAGACTGTCATGTACATTAGCCTTCTCAATCTTTATGTACACTTGTCAATCTTAGACATTAACAGCAGAATTACAGTAAAAGATTCAGAAATGTAAAGTGACAAAACTGTCCTAACTGCATCAGTGGGAGACACCATAAATCAGGCTGCTGGAAAACATGTCCACCATCAGAGAAAATTGAAATGGTATGGACAAATAAAAACCAACAATCTTTACACTGCTATCTAACAAGGTAACAATTTTTTTTTTTTACCAAAAAAAGAAGCAAACAGAATAAAAAAAGTTCTGACAATATCACTGAGCAGAGTGGAAGATAATTCAGAAAGACCCTGCATAAGTACTAGTCTCATCAATTTACAGCTGAAATGGATAGATGTAACCGTAAGTTACATCACACTTCTCGCTTGTGTAACTCTTCTGGTTTCTTGCTTCTCAGTCAACTTTGATCTTCAAAAATTTAAATTCAATGTCAAGCATTATTATTTTCTGTCTTCATATTCTTTTATTATCCTCTATCCTTAATAGTATTTTTTCTCCTATTCCCTAACACTCAGTAACCTCTTGCATCCTAGTGGTTTTATTGCCTTGCTTGAAGTAAAAAAAGAAAAAAAAGAGAGAAAAACAAAAGCATGACATTACAATGTCCCCAAATTCACAAACCAATGCTTTAATCCACTCATCTATTGTCCCATAGGGCATTTTTTTTTTTTAGGAAAACATTGTATACCATCAACATATTTTAATGAGAATATTTTGTTGTTATGCCCTAAAGATTGAATATTCTTTATATTTTTTTTTTTTTTTTTTTTTTTAAATCAACATAATTGACCATGGGTTACTTAATAAATCAGCTTCATTCATTACCAATTCTACATTAAGACAGATCTATAATTTACTCCTAACAGAATTCTGAAGACAAGAATTATGTAAATAATGTCACCAATGCCATATCATCGAAAAAAAAACAAAAAAAAACTGTACCACCTAGTGAGGACTGTGACAAGGTATTTCAAGATAGCTGCTCTCAAGATTGATTTGTTTTCTCTGGCTTCTTGAAAGTTATTTAAAGCCAGAAAAGATTTTTTAGATTTTAAGAAATTTTTTTTTCTGTAATGATTTAGTGGTACAAGTCTTACTAATTAAGCCATAGTTAGTGGGAGAAGAAGTAGATCTATACCTTTCCCAAGGGTATTTGCAAATGTGAATATAATGAACCCAACTGGAATTGGAACTCGGTCCTCCTCTTAACAATTTTGAGCCATTATCCATGATGCCATGCACATCCAAACTTACAGCACCAGGTATTCCCATTTAGGTACTGACCAGGCTTAATGTTTCTTAACTTTGGTGATCATACGGGAACCAGTGCCAGGAATATTCATCACTATGGACTATAGATGCTGGACATCTGTGCTTTTTTATACATTGCAAGCTTCATTTGTAAATTTTATTCTTTGTGTGTGTGCATGTGGGGGTGTTCAATTATTCAATAATAAATCCAACATCAGCCTCCTATTTTGCATCTTGTTTCACACCAAGCAGATTGGTAGTGGATAAAGATTCAGTTTCTAAGTTTGTTAAATTTACAGAAAAATTTAACTTAACACAGTAGATAAATTTAATTCAAACCTCAAATAAAAATTAAAAAGATCCATCAGCTGCTAAACCTGAGAGAATAAGTAAGATTAATAAGAGAAAATAAAGAAATAAAAAGACAAGACTTTCAAAGTGACCACCCACCTGAGCATTGATGTCACTGCCCATGTCAAGTAATAACTTGACCGCTGCTGAGTGACCATTCATAGCAGCTAACATCAGAGGAGATATACCCAGTTTACTGCCTGTTCTGGAAAATAGAAAAATAAAAGAGCAAAGATAAAAAGGGGAGCTGATAAGAGAAGTCAAAAACTAAAGCATATATGGCCATCAGCTTCATTTCTTGGAAGCATACCACAACATATCATCTTTCTCCACAAAACTAACGCCGACACAATGTGGTATAATTAAAAATAAGAACAATGAGAAAATTAAAAAAAAATATCAATAAAAGGCTGAATGAGATCAGTTATGTTAAATATTTAGATACATTGGTTGACAAAATTTAAATTTAAATCTAAGTGTGTCTGTATTGCTAAAATTTAACAACATAAAACTGTAACTAGCATTTGTTGCATTTCTACCCCCACCCCAAACCAACACACATACATTTTATATATTTAAGGCAAATAGAACCTTGCTTAACTGTGAAGCTCTCTGTAGCTGAGTGGTCAAAGCAAGCTGGATAAGACAATAGCTTCTCCAGCAAAGAATGACACAATCAGGCACCATATAGCCTCTGACAAGTTTGGTTCACATGACTACTGGTGGCTTTATAATAGCATGTTAAATAACAGTAATACTTCTATTCCTCCTCTTTTCAATCAATTTGAGGTAATAATATCTTCTGCTGATAAAGCAGAATGTTTGCTCATAAATCTCTTCAAATTCTAATCTTGACTTATCTGGAGCATCTTTGCTTGACTTTCCACTTAGAACAGAGTTTCTATTGAGTAATATAAATATAATTGTCCATGGTTTGTGCCATCATCCCTAAACTGGATCCCTACAATGTATGTGGACTTGATGGTATCTCTACTATAGTCCTTAAGAAGAAATCTTCTCAAGAACTGGTTGCTGTTCTCTCTAAACCCAACAATAAATGTCTTGCTGATGCTAACTTTCCTGCTTATTGGAAATCCTCTTCTATAGTTCCAGTCCTTAAGAACTCAGGCAAACCATTTGATACTTCTAACTACCAGCATATTAGTCTTGTACTTCTTTCTTGTAAAGTATTAGAGCAGGAGTTGTCAACAAAGGAGGAAATCACCCCCTCTTGGGGGGGGGGGGGTTAAGGGTTAAGTTCAGGAGGGCATCTTTTACTTTTTCACAAGTTTTCCCATTGATTGTAATCTTCATTAGAATACAAATGATTTAAATACCCTGACCTTTTACTGAACTTTTTGTTTATTGAATTCCAATCGATCCTAGTATTCTATTGAGCGATTGAAGTCAACTTTAATTTATTTAATAATTAGTTATGAATTAAAACAAATTGCTGTACATGTATTCAAGTTTAATAATCCACCAACATTTTATATTGCTATTAAATTTGTAAAACTCCTCTATAAAAATAATCCATGTAAATGTACATGTACTAATTGGAAAAAAAAAAAAAGCCGAAGATTTTCAATAATATATGCCTATTATTTGGAATGCACCTTTTGAGTTGGACAATGACACAGTGAAATGGTGTTTCAATGCTACTAAACAATTTGATTTGTTGAATATATTATAAAACACAGTCTGAAGTCTTTTTAGTCTTTAGTTTTACATTTCTTTTCTTTTGAACTGCTTAAACTACACGAATGTTAGATTTAGTCAAATCTGAGTAGAGTTGCTTACAAATGAATAAGATAAGACCAAAGCAAAATACAAATTAAAAAGAAATTGTTAAAACTAAACTTATATTCAGTCAAAAAACAAAAATTAAAAAGCATGAATGAAGAATTTGATCAGCCCAGATATGAAAAGTTTTAAAAAAATATAAAGATATAGGCAGGATAGAGAGAAAGGAGTTTATTTTAGACATACAGACATTAAAAGGGTATTTTAAAAAAATTTAAAAATGGTGGCAGTGGGGAAGGGACAGACAATGTTCACAAAGGAAGAGCCAAACAATTCTTGGAATAATGCAAAGTCACTTGATAAATCTGAATTTTATTTTCTTGTCATTTTCGAACGGAAGCACTGAAAATAGGGTTTGGAGAATTTGAAACTTACAGACAAATTGAAGAACAGAGAGTAACAAGAAACCTACCTAACAAAAGTGTGTAAATGGATTGTAGAGCAGAGAGAAGAATGGATTGAGTTTTTTTTCTTTTGATTTTTTATGGCTTATCAATCCTTTATGGATTATTTAAAGCGAAAACATATTTCAGACTAGCTTAAAAGCCACCCTATCAGGCAGCATTTAAGTCAGCTCCTGTGGAAGGCTCTTGTTTGGGGCATCATTACAATAGGTAGGGAGGAGTAGGCAACAAACTACAGAAAAATTCAAAATTGATCACTGCATTTAACTATTGCATTAATATTTAAGCTTACCTTTTAAAAGTTCAATGATAATTCTTCTGCTGCCACTTAATTTAAAGACAATTTGATGCACATGGGTCCTTAATTTCCATACAAACAATTATTTTTATTTCATGGGTGACTTTTGCTGGATTTCAGAATTAATTTCAATTATTCCCAAATTTATTTCCAAGTTTTAAAAATTGTTATATGTTTAAAAAAAAAAAAAAAAAAGCAAAGTTGAAAAAAGCGTGCCACAATAATGACACATATTTGCATTTATTATATAGATTATAGGAGGTTGCATACAGTACCGTGTGTTCCAAATTGGTCTCCTATCTAAGTACTGACCAGCTTGACATTGCTTAACTATGGTGATGAAACTGAAACAATGTGATTTGAACATAAGAAGTGGGAGGGACAATAAAAAAAGACGCAAACATTGCTAAGAGCTGCACAAAGGATAGGAAATTGTAGAGAGTGATTGGTCACATCCTGAAGAGAGATAGCACATAGAAGAACAAAAAAATATGGCTAACCACAATTGTTCAATATTAGAATTTAATTCTCCAAATCCAACCATTTTTATTTAGACTATTTCTTAACTAGGGAAAATGAACAACTTACCGTGAATTAATTTCTGCACCACTTGAAAGCAGTAGTTTTATGATATTCACATAACCACCAGATGCTGCCAGACTTAAAGGAGTATAATCTGAAACATTACGATGTTCCTTGTTGGCAACACGAGATAGCAGCAATTCTACCACCTAGAAGGAAAAGGGGGGGAAAAAAAAAGTCATTTGGCAAGCAACAATAATTTTTTTTTAAAAATGTGGGGTTATTTGATAAAAACAACAATAATAATAAAAAAAAAAAAAGCTTGAATTTTTCAGATGAAGCATTAAGGTTTTATTCATCCCTGGTTCCTATTGTTTGTTTACATCTAGAAGAAATTTGTCGTGTGATTTTGTCAAATTAAACATTGTCATTAATTTTTTTACTGTCAATGTTATTGGCGCTTTTTGGTCATTTTATATTGTGCAAGGTTTTTTTTTTTTTGCAAAGGTAAAAACCAAATTTGTCTCCCCCACATTAAAAGTGATCCACGACTATTCTTGATAAATGATGCCTCAGCCCCATTTCCCCTTATATATATATATATATATATATATATATATATATATATATATATATATATATATATATACATACACACACAAGTCAACTTTATAGTTATTACAACATTTTGGCTATTGGGCTCTCTGGCCTTTATCAGGTGTTTGTCAATCCGAGTAAATCTTCAGGGAATTTTTAACCAAATGCTTTATTTAATCTTATGGTGATAGACTGTTCTTGTTTCACTGCCCATGGATAGAGATATTGTGTTTAGTTCATATGTTCAATTATTGCTTGCTTCCTTGCCACCGAGTCTAGGTACACACTGCTCAGCCCAGGGATTGAGCTCGCAATTACTATATCACTATGTGGATTAACATGTTGGTTTGTGAATTTGGTGACATAGTAATTGTGAGTTCAATCCCTGGGCTGGGCAATGTGTACTTGGACACTGTAGAAACAGGGCAAGCACTAATGGAGCATTACTGAAATAAAAACATAAGCAGTGGAAAGAGAACAGTCTACCCCACTACCTAGGTTTAAATAAAGAGTTCAGTTCAAAATTCCCTGTACATTACCCAGATTAACATAATGTAATGAAAGCCTAAGGGTACAACAGACAAAATATTGTGATAACAACAAAGATGATTTTGGTTGTGTTGTTTAGCAGCATATCAACCTTTATGGGTTATTTAATGACAAAATCTAAATATTTTATACACAATTTTATTTTTGGAGATAATAATGGTTAAGAGATACAATTCTTACTAATTAATCCATAGCAGGGGGGGGGAGAAGAGGTGGATTTATACCTTTCCCAAGAGTATTTGCACGTAAGTGAATATAACAAACCCAGCTGAAATTGGAACTTGGTCCTCCAATTAACAATTCTGAACCATTATCCATTGCTTCACCTGCAAGTTTGCTGCATCTGGTATTCCCAAGTGGTCAACCATCTAGGTACTGACCAGGCTTAATGTTGCTTAACTTCAGTTATCATATGGTTTCAATGTGAAGCAACTAAGAGAAGGACAATAATAGACATGTAAATAATAATTTTTATTATTTTTTATCCTAATTTTTCTTTTTGCTATTTAAAGGCTTTATCAGCATCTCGGCTTTGCCATACATAACTAATTTAGATAGGTTATTTTACTGGCACACCAACTCCAAGGGTCATTTGACACTGTATCGAGTAGTTTTAAAATTTGTGTTTATTTTGCAAACAAATTCTTTTATAAGAAGTTAATCATATAAAATTCAGTTTTAGTTACATTTTGTAGCCAGGTGTTTATTCAGTTTCCTTTTTATATTTTGGGGTAAAGTTTTGTTACTTTTAAGAATTTTTGAATGGCTTTGACACTCTCACAGAGGACCCTAAGGTTAGGTGCATTATAAAAGTATTTTCCTATAGGTTCCCATTTTTGCAGTTAATTAAAAAATGTTTGATAAGGAGTACTTCTTGGCAGTTTGGGCATTTTGGAGAGTTTTCATTTTTTAGGAGGAAGGAGTAGGTTATGAGGGTGTGTCCAATTTTGATTCTTGTAAGTGTGATTATCTTTTCTTGAGCGTCTTGTACTGTGATGTACAGTTAGAATGGGTTTTATTTGATATAGTTTGTTGTTTGTGTGTGTATTCCATGATTTTTGCCTCATTGTTTGAGTCTCTAAGAGTTCATTATGGTTTCAAGTCTCTAAGAGTTCATTATGGTTTCAAGTCTCTAAGAGTTCATTATGGTTTCAAGTTTCATTATGGTTTCTCTCTAAGAGTTCATTATGGTTTCAAGTCTCTAAGAGTTCATTATGGTTTCAAGTCTCTAAGAGTTCATTATGGTTTCAAGTCTCTAAGAGTTCATTATGGTTTCAAGTCTCTAAGAGTTCATTATGGTTTCAAGTCTCTAAGAGTTCATTATGGTTTCAAGTCTCTAAGAGTTCATTATGGTTTCAAGTCTCTAAGAGTTCATTATGGTTTCAAGTCTCTAAGAGTTCATTATGGTTTCAAGTCTCTAAGAGTTCATTATGGTTTCAAGTCTCTAAGAGTTCATTATGGTTTCAAGTCTCTAAGAGTTCATTATGGTTTCAAGTCTCTAAGAGTTCATTATGGTTTCAAGTCTCTAAGAGTTCATTATGGTTTCAAGTCTTTCAAGGTTTCAAGTCTCTAAGAGTTCATTATGGTTTCAAGTCTCTAAGAGATCATTATGGTTTCAAGTCTCTAAGAGTTCATTATGGTTTCAAGTCTCTAAGAGTTCATTATGGTTTCAAGTCTGTAAAAGGGATTTTTGAATTTGATGCATTCATTGAGAGGGATTCCTTGGCTGCCTTGTCAGTCCTGCTATTCTCAGGGATCCCAATATGGCTAGGGACCCCACACAGTATGACATGTTTTTGATTGAATATTTAGTTAAATATATTCAGGAGTTTTGTGATTAGTGGGGAAACATGCCAGATGGAATGAAACCTTGTATATAGACAATAAGAGAAAAAAAAACTTTTTTTACCCATTAGTTTAATAACAGCAAAAACCAACTGATATTCAAATTTAGTCACACAGAAAGTTCATCTGATTTGCATACTATACTATATTGTTTTACTCTATAATTTTAATAAATATGAAGTATTTTTATTATCATCAATGTTTACTCCAGTTTTTTTGCAGCTTGTTTATCAAATGCTATGTAAAGACTTTACAGTTCCAGGTAAAACAAAGCTTTGTAAATATAACCAAAATCAGACAAAATATCTAAGCAGCATGTTTAATTAAACTCTTGATATTATCTAAGCAGCATGTTTAATTAAACTCTTGATATTATCTAAGCAGCATGTTTAATTAAACTCTTGATTCTAAGCAGATGTTTAATTAAACTCTTGATATTATCTAAGCATGTTTAATTAAACTCTTGAATTAAACTTATATTATCTAAGCAGCATGTTTAATTAAACTCTTGATATTATCTAAGCAGCATGTTTAATTAAACTCTTGATATTATCTAAGCAGCATGTTTAATTAAACTCTTGATATTATCTAAGCAGCATGTTTAATTAAACTCTTGATATTATCTAAGCAGCATGTTTAATTAAACTCTTGATATTATCTAAGCAGCATGTTTAATTAAACTCTTGATATTATCTAAGCAGCATGTTTAATTAAACTCTTGATATTATCTAAGCAGCATGTTTAATTAAACTCTTGATATTATCTAAGCAGCATGTTTAATTAAACTCTTGATATTATCTAAGCAGCATGTTTAATTAAACTCTTGATATTATCTAAGCAGCATGTTTAATTAAACTCTTGATATTCAAATCAAAAACTTGTTTAAAACACTTTCTAGTGTTATCAATACTATTTATAAAAGGGAAATGTAATTTTTTCAGCTAACAAGAAAATAAGTTTTTTTTTTTAAACTACAATTAAATAACAGTTCTCAATATTATATACGATTCTATATATATTTTATATGTGTGGTGCCTATTGGAAAGTGCTCAATATCAGTAATAAAGCTAACATATATAGTTGAATGGATATTAGTTTGTAATCCTGGGTTTCACTCTTATGCAATCCTGTTTTTCTGAGGATAGTATAAGCATGAAACCCAGGGTCACAAACTCATATCCATTCATATATATATATATATATATATATATATATATATATATTCTAATGAAATGTGTTATACAGAATTTTTTTTACACTGTCATTTATTTGGTGAACATTATCTTCCTGAAAAATTTATTTCACAAAATCCAGAAGCATCTGAATGCAGTTGAAAAAATAAAGTAAAATAAAATTCTAAAAAAACAACACATCATACTCACATCAAATCTTCCACCAGAACAGGCTAGAGACAAAGGAGTATCTTTGGTTCGTTCAGACTGGGCTTCTATTTCAGCATTGTATTCTAAAAGAATTTCAACAACGTCTACATGACCTGCTGTGGCAGCTAAAATCAAGGGGGTAAAACCTGATAAGAAAAAAAGAGAGGAAAAAATGTAAGTATATACCATTGAAAGAAAACTAAATTCCATAATAATTAGCACTACTTAAATTAATTAAACATGGGGGGAATTGGGGGGGGGTAGATTAGCATTCATTAAGCCTTGATAGAAATAATGATTTTTTTATCATTTTAGAAAGGGATCCTGTTCACAATATAAAAACAGTGTCAAGTCAATCTGACATCTTAAAGAGTTATCTGTACTTTGTTTTATTTACAAATGTCAAGTTTGAAACTGTACTTATGCCATTGATAACTGCATACAACTGATATCACCCCCCCCCAATTCATAATTGTATGCAGTTATTAATGACATTGTTTCAAACTTCATATTTGTAAATAAAAGAGTACAGATAACCCTTTAAAAAAAAAAAAGTCAGGGATCAGTTTGACACTGTATTAATACCATGAACAGGATCCCCCTTCTAAAACAATAGAAAAATCGTTTTTTTTTTTTTGTTTTTTGAACAAGTGGACCAGTTAATTTAAATAGTGCTTAGTAACTTAGACAAGATTATGCAAAGTTCACTTTCTTAAGATGCAGGAAGAAAAAAAAATTAAAAAAATCCCACATGTCACATGTAGCATTTACTACCTGATCCTCTATACAAAACCTTTCATATGTCAGCAAGATGAAAGGTGGTGTTCTTAGTACTAAGAACAGCTCTTAAATTACTGATAATTTTCCCAGAGATGTAGCAAAAATTTGTCTTTCTTTGGTTTTATGGTATAAATTTAGCTCTTATTGTTTTCTTTAAGAGAATTCAATTAGAGTTGACGTTATCCTCTGAGGAAAAGACATTACAAACTACTTACAATTTATATTATCAGTTTAAAATCTGCGGTTTTAATTATAATCGGTTGTTTCCCTCTGAATATATATTCAACACACTCTGTAAACCCGTCCCATGTATATTCTGTCATAATATATAATGACATCATTGCAACAATTAGTCATGGCTTAGGATTTACCTTTTTTATCCCGATGTTCAATATCTGCATTTTTCAGAAGCAGTAGCCGGACCAACTCCGAATGTCCACCGGCACAAGCCAGCGTCAATGCGGTGTCGTGGTTGCTATCTGTTTGGGCATCCAGATCTATATGTTGGGGCACAAAGCGGTGAGGCGTGGAAATTCCAGGTGATGCTGGAGACGGGGTTGGGGTTTGAGGAGTACTTGAAGGAGGTGGTACTGTCTCTAAACCTATAGAGTTGGGTGTCGTTTGCATGGCCTGGTGATTGTTGTTTATGTGACGTTTCCATCTGGATTTTAGAATACTTGGTTGATTTACCTGAAAGAAAAAGAAAGAAGAATACATAAGAGAAAAAATAAAGGAGGACTTCATTTTGGTTGATTTTACAAAAAACCAAGATTTGACTACCATTTACCAGACACATGGTCGTTGAGAAAGGCAAAGACAAATTAAACAGTTGACTAAATGGAACTGATAAACACATACACTGCTGATAATTAATTATGGTGGCAAAGAATGAATTCAAAGAAAACTTAAGGGAACTACTTAAATAGACTGATTCACAAAAATTGGGGGGGTTCAGTTTTGTAGATTAGCATTCTCTAGACCTTTTAGATAATAAAAAAATATTGATTTCTTTTCAATTCAGAAGCAGGATCCAGTTTATAATATTGAATTAATTCTAAATCAACCTCCTGACTTTTATAGTTATTGACCTTAGACTAAGTCACTTAGCTATTATTAACAAAGGTCAAATTTGAAAATGTACACACATCATTGATATCTGAATATTTAAAAAAAAAAAAAAAAAAAAAAAAATCTTTTTAACATTTTTTTTTGTGTGGAATTTTTTCTGAAGCACATGCAAAAATATTGGGAAGTTCATAATTATTTATCTTAAATTAAGAATAAATGAATACATAATTTATGCAAATTTTTGTCCTTTACCTAAAAATGTATATAACCATCTCTTCATTATTTAAGAGAAATCTTTTTGTAACTCCCACCTCAAAAAGGTTTTTGTACATAAAACAGTAGTCTGATAACTCTTAAGAAAGAGAAAAAGATTAAATATTCTTTTTAAGTGGGTAAAATTAAATACATAATCCTAAGTTAGCAGCAAGAATGATTAGTAAAATTGTCTTCCAAAACTATTGAAAATGACTTATGAAGTATTTGAGAAATGTAATAATCCAAGACTTCTCCAACAATTACACTGATTAAACATTATAAAGGAAAAAATTTCAGATCAAATTTCAAGTAATAACCTCATACCTAGCTATATACTTATTGATTAATTTAAAATATCTTTTGATTCTGTGCAAATGCTTGGTGAATTTTCTAAGTTGAAATTACAGACACTGCACACTATTTTATTCCCATAACTGTTGACTGACAATGGTTATAATCATAAAAGAACTGTACATTTTAAATAGCTGCAGAGCATGTTATTAATGGCAGATGAGCAAGTAGGCTTAAGGAGAGATAGAGAATTAAGAGAATCAATAAATCCATAGCTATTACCTGAAATTCTCACAGTATAAATGTTCCATCTAAGTGACTACTATTCACCATTGAATTAAGTGCATTTACAAAGACAGGGATTATGCTGATGAATGCATATTCGTGCAGAATAAATACTTTTAAACACTATTCATAATTAGGCTTCTGACTCACTAATATACTAAAGTATACATCAATGCAATTTGTTTAAGAAATTGATTAATTTTTTTTATGATTTATCAACCCCATTGTGGAATCTTTAAAACCAAAACATGTTTTGGATTGCAGGAATTACATTTTGTTTTTTCACAAGCTGCACTAATTTTTTTGAAAGAATGATTTTTCTAGATAGTCATACTATTTAACCCATAGCTGAGCAGCAAAGGAGCGATGGATTCATACTTTTCCCAATGAATTTTGTGTAAGCAAATGTAACAAACTCAACAGGAATTTGAACACTGCCAATTTCTCATTATCCATAACCCTTACCCTCACATCCTTGTTTAGGGAAAAAACAGAAACAAGTTTACAAAAATTATGAGCACAGTGTAATGCATCTGATCCTTTTCATCAAAAATTTAATATTAATCTTGATTAATAGTAATGTTTACAAATTTGTTTCAAGAATATCATCCATTTGAAAGACAGGCTTAAAACATTTCAGCTTTATTGTTAAATTTACTTATTTTTGATTAACTTGGACCTTTGCACCCACAAAAAAATGCAGTGTCAAAGGGACATTTTTTTTCCAGTGACACAGCTTTTATTTTAACCACCTCCACTCCTCAGTAATGTTAGTTTTAAAAAGCAATGACTAGAATTGTAATAAAACCTAAACATATAAAAGTGAAGTTATACATTTTCCTTGTTTTTGAGAATTGACAGCAAAAATAATAAAAATATAAACAGTATTTACTTATTTATTCATTTACTTATAAGATTGCTTACTTACACTTTCATTTTTAAAATCATTACACTCCAAGAAAGGTAATAATGCCACTAAGACACAACGGGCTACTGAGAGTGAAAGAAACTGATAAAACTTTAGAAGGAACCAGGAAACAAGGGGTAAATTATTATCTTGAAATAGTTGGCAAAAGAGCTAATTTCCAATCAATTCAAATTTTATAAAATGGTAAATAATAAGGATTTCTTTATAGTTGGTTCACATATACTAATAATTTATTAAATATTTATAAATTTATGAATAAAAAATTGTCTTCATATTTCTTTATAAATTGGTAAATAATAAATATTGCATTGCATTAATTTTTAGGATGCTGTAAATATAAAATTATTCTTGCAAATTCTTGAGAACAAAAAAAAACAAAAAAAAACGTATAAATTCACTTTCATCATATTTAGGTTCTATTACAATTCACATTTTAAAACATTGCTGAGGTGTGAAGGTAGTTAAAATAAGGGTTTCAATAAAAACAACTGTCCTTCTGATACACTGTTTTTTTTTTTTTTTTGGAGGAGTACAAATTTTTTTTCTTAAAATCATTTCATTGTTAAACTAAGAAGAAGTATAAAATTTGCATTCATGTAATTACATTCATCCAAGTAAAACAACAGAAATCAATGCAAAGTCAAAAAGTCACAAATGTAACAATGAAAACAACAAAAAGAGGGCAAGAAGTGGTTTTTCAGGATATTGGCTGAAATTTCTATTTATCAAGAAAGATTCCAAATTTTGGGCTTTTAGTCAACAAATGTTTTCTGCATGTTGGTAAAAAACATTTTGGCTCAGTTATTCTACAGTCTTCAACAAGTGCACAATATGTTTGAAGTGAATACAACTCAAAGATACTTATCAAAATATGTCAAAATTTTGACAATGTATTTTTAAGGCCAGCAGACATTTTATCAAAATGTGCTCAACGGACAAGTAACAATATTCAACAAATCAATAAATGTTCAATTGACTTATCTCATTGACCAACTCCAGAGTTTCATGTAATACCACTCATCAGATGGTTGGTTCAATAAACTTGATGAATTAATACCAGATATCTTATTCAATACTCCACAACAGTACTATCAGCCGTTTCTCTACAAGGAAACATTTGGTATTTAATGACTGAGCAGCCAATACTGCATTCAGTTGAAATTTATAAAATCTCTCTTAAAACAGGTTTTCCAAGTCCAGTAGCTGTTATTCCTCTTTCCAGTATTGATGGGAGTTTCCTTCCTAACCTTTTATTTGTAGTAGTGTGGAATGTTAACATCTTGATTATGTCATTATTTTCTCTTCGAGTTACATGTGCTATCCGTTTTAGTTATTGCCGATGTTGGTAGTCCTCAAGTGATGTGGTTTCTGTTATTTGGTAAAGTTCTTTGTGAATTTGTAGCACCAGACCACAATGTTCAAAGGAGGATGATATTTGCCAAGACCCTCAGGCTCAACTCACTCATAGCCTTTCCCCCACCCCATTGATCTTAGGAAGCACATAAATTTCAAATTTGTAATATGTACCATGCTAGAATCTATTATGAATGTTACAGCATTTAAATATTTTAGAAATAGTTCAATGTTTTTTTTTAGTTTTTTTATATAAATAACAATTACATAATTTGGAAATTAAAAATATTTAATCAACCATAGTAACCAAACTTACTGATTATTTCTTTTAAATTACTTAAATTTAAGAAAGAATGGCATTGCATGAAGAAATGAAACTTCCCCCCACTTCTTGCGGATTATAAACCTGAGAAAGGCTGAAGAAGGAATTGGCCAATATGTTACCAACATCAAAAACATGAACTGCCTAAATCAAATTTGGAATGTCAAAGACTTTCTAAAAGTTATCATGGATGGAATGTTCATGGAGTACATTGTTTTTAACATATCGTCATTTCCATTCCAGATGAGATTCATTATTATCATCATTTGTTTGGTTAATTTGAAAAGATTCACATTGCTTCATAAATGGTTCCTCCTGAAGAAAAGGCTAAAAAGGCATGAACATCTGTGAGAAGAATGGTGAAAATATGGTTGTAGAATGAAGGTTTCCTATGGAAGAGCATTGAAGTGTGATATCAAGGCATTATGACCAACTTAACTTTGGTATATGTAAATCCAATAGTAGAAACCATTAAGCAATTCCAAGATTAGTCAAAAGCTGCATGGATCTGGTATTCTTATAGTTTGATGCAGAAACAACAAAGTCTAGGTATATGAAGAGGTCTTGTCAGGGAGTCTTCGGTTAGTAGCTATGATGTTTTGACTAAAATCATACATGATCACCAAGTCATCTGAAAAAAGCTTTTTTTGGAAGCATAGTAGCAGTTGCTTTAGCCATCAATGTGTGAACTTAAAATCTGCAAACTAACAGGCCTAGTCGTTGTTGTTGTTCTATATACTTATGTATTGCCCAGCACATGAATTGAACTCACAACTACCAGCTAATAGAATCATGCTTTCTTCTTGTTGGATTGTTCTGTCTCTCCTGTTCTTTGTTATGGGTTCGGCTGTGGAGCTCAATATAAATCCGTGGTATTTCTTCCAGAGAGTGTTCATTTATTTACTTGTTGAATCCCTGACAGACCACTTCATCACAAGTTATCTTCCTTGCACTGTCAATGCTAGCTGGAGTTTTGTTATCACAATGGTGAACTGTCTCATCAGGTTTCCAAAGACAGAAACCAAAAAGATTGAATCTACATAATGACAAAATGCAGCGATAATGGGGCAAAAATTTAGAAAACTATGCTCTGAAAGTTGTTATTGTTGTGTATACTTATATATTGCCCAGCACAGGAATTGAACTCATAACCACCAGCTAATATCAACTAATGATTTGTTGTTGCTGGATTGGCCTATCTCCAGTTCTTTGTAATGGGTTCTGCCATGGAGTTCAATATAAGCCCATGGTATTTCTTCCAGAGTGTGTACATTCATTTGCCTGTTGAATCCCTGACAGAACACAGCCATAATTTTATATGTAGTGTTTATTTCTTTTAAGAAAGTGCAATAGTGTAATTGATAGCAGCTCAAAACAAATCAGCAAGCCAAGTTCAAATTCCAGTAGAGTTTTGTTAGATTCACTTTTGCTCAAATAGCCCTCAAGAAAGATATGAATCCATCTCTTCTCTTAGTTATGATTTAAACAGTACAGAGGACACGGCTCTTCATCTTTGGTTGGCAGCCAGTCTAGGTGAAGGACAACTCTGAATTTAAAAACATATGTAATCCTGGCAAAGCACACACTATGCAGTTAATGAAAGGATTATACCTTTCACAATGTCTATGATCCCTAACTGCAGTTGATCTGTTGGGTGAATGTATGGTTGGGTTAAGTAGTTACCTTCCTTTTAGCCCCCCCCCCTTAATATAATTTTCATCAGGATTTTAATACCTTACTTTTTCTCCTTCCCACAACTTTCTCAATACTGTTTCACATTATATGCATCATCTGGTTTCCACAAGTTTTGTGACTAAAGAATGCTTGATATTTTCTGAAGTAATCTATGAAAAACATTAGATATTGCAACAAATGCTAGCCTTAAAAGAAACACTGCTAATAAAATAGTCATAACAAATAAAACAATATGAATATGATGATCTGAATATATTTTCAATAATTTTGAAAAGACAGTCAATAACATTCCAAACTTTTCTCAGATAATTGTCTAATGTTTGTGAGAAACATTTCAGATGATCCATTTTACTGCTTTCTTCCAGATGATCAATAATATACCAAGAGGCTTTGACCAAACCAAGACAGAGATTTCAATATGCATATTTGCCTTTTTACTAAAGGAATTGCAAAACAATCTAGCATACTAATAAAAAAAAAAATCAGTGGTACATAGGACTGAACATCTTGTGTTGTTAAAAAAAAAAAAAAAAAATGCCAGAGATGCCTTTCCTTACATAACATCCATCCAAAGAATATAAAAAAAGAACAGTGAAAACGTTGTGAGAACAACATCAACAGCACAAAGGAGTTGAATTAAGGCAAGGCGGATGGTAAAGCCCCCTTGGGGTTACTGTGAACTAGATTAGTAATTGTTGGGAGTTGTCTATAATTTCTAAAGGGCAGAAAGATAATTTAGCCCTTTGAATCCCAATTGGAACAAGTCCCAACACGTTTATCTTTTTGCCTATATATTTTCAATTTTAAATATATTTCAAATATTTAGCTGCCATTGCTATAGATGTGTATAGAGCAAAAAACCTGCAAACTAAAGTCAAGCACTATCCTTCTTTTGACCCAATGATTGCTACTTGCCTATTACCACCACAGCTTACTTCTAGTGATTGATATAAAGAAAATGTGTTGCATTAACCCCACTCAATTTACTAGTGTAATTTTAACACCAGGTGCACCAAACCATTCAAAGGGACACTGGAGAAGAAAATCCTCATCTTTTTGCTTTCTACAGCTTATCAACTTTTGTTGGTTATTTAAATTCAGAAAATATTTTTAGATTGTGAGAATTTGGGTGGGGGTTTACTTTAATTAATGGTTTACCGATATAAGTCTTACTAATTAACCCATAACTGGGGGAAGTAAAAGTGGATTTATAGCTTTCCCAGGGGTATTTTCATGTAAGTGAAAATAACAACAACTGGAATTGGAACTGTTCTCTGATTAACAATTCTGAGCCATTGTCCATTACACCACCAGCATATTCAGGCTTACAACACCTGGTATTCCCAAGTGTTCACCCACCTAAGTACTGACCAGGCTCAATGTTGCTTAACTTAGGTGATCATACGGGAACCAATGTTTCAATATGATGTGGCTATAAGCCTGGAGAAGAAAAGGTCAAGAACCAATGAATTACAGTCATCAATCTTCTCATAATTACATATGTCATGTATGAATAATTCTACTGAGGTTGTGTGCTTGTCATGCAAAACCATTGCTTGCATGTTGCATAAAATGATACATTTAGGGTCAAAGAGGCAACCTATTAAAAGGTCAAAGTTCTTGGTTCAACAGTTGATAGAATTAAAACTTTTAAAAATGGCTCCCAAATATTGAATCTATAGTCAGAAATTAATTCTCATTATGAGATATTTCAAGGGTACTTTGAAACTGTCATGGTTAATTTCTTCTCAAAGCTCTATTAGAATGATGTGCTAATTCTGGAGATGTAGAGAGATGCTACAGAGATGCTACAATAGAGGACAAGAAGAATGGCACAAAGAAAGTAAAAGTTCAAAACTATCAGATTCAATTTCTGATGCCATACAAGTTGAGGAATGTTTCAATAACTAACCAAAGAACTATAAATCAGTAGGAACTCTTCAGCTTAGTCTGCACCAAAATCATAATATTACCTTCATATTGCCATCTAATTTATTACGTCCCCACATCGTGTAGAGAAAAATCTCGTTCAATGTTCCTTCCACCTGCAGGAGTCCTAGCAAAACTATAAAATCTAATTCCAGGTTATTCAAGATTTATTCTGGTTAGTAAAATTTTCAAGATTAACCTTTAGTACTCTGCATTATTAATATTGCTCCTCTTTCCACTGCATTCTTTTTCAAAACTTCTCAATTCCAGTATCCTTGTTGTTAATTTCACTCAAAGGTGTTTTTTTGTTCCCATAGTAGGATATGACAACACAACTATGAAATTCAAACACAACTATGAAATTCAAACACACTATTGTTCAGGGATTGGAGTCACCTTCATTGGCAGGATAAACTTTGTGTACAGCGAATGAACTCACATACAGAGTGATAACTGTTAAAATTTGATTTTTCAATGTATTTTTCAGACCCAACAGAACAGCTTTCCAGGCTCAGGTAGACCCCTCCCATTTAAACTGGGTAGTCAGTTGGGCTGTTGATAAAACTTGGCTGTAGTCAGACAAGTTACTGACACCCCATTTTTAGAAAGCTTTTACCATTTTGATGACATCACAGGAAGAAATTGGTCACAAAACAGATTCAAGCAAATGGCTGTTTTTCATACAATTTGAACTCAATTTCAAAACCTGCAGCAAAGGCTAATTATTTGCATGAGAAACAATAATATCAGATTTTAAGGAATTTACAAGCACAAGAATATTGGAAGAAAGGTATGAGGAGAGAAATAATTTGTGACTTTGAAATTATCATACTGTAAGTTGTTCAAAACAAATCATTGAGTTTGAAAGGGAAACAATTCTTCTGAGAGAGTCTGATTAAAAAAGTAGAATAATTAATAAATGGTTTCAGAAAATAAAACCATAGACATCCTCCAAAACCAACCCTCACATCTAAAGTCAAGAATACAAACAACTGAACATACAAGGATAAATAGTTAAGGTATAAAAATAAAATTAACATGATAAATTAATTTAATGTTCCCTTTCAAGATTACCTGGATTTACAAGAAGAATAAAGAGCACAATCCTAAGATATCAATATACAGACATTTTCAAGGTTCTCAAGGCACTTTTAACAATTTCTTTTTTAATTCAAAGTCCATGTTTTAAATTCTAGGCTTTTCATAGTTCACTGAAAACTGACTGAAGATACAAAATAAAATTAAAAAGAAAAATCACTAAAATTTATTCCAGACAAATTTGAAAAATTGTTATGTAACAAGAAATTTTCAAGGCTCCCTCCACCATGAAGAAATAGTAAACAAGGTAGTCCCTCACAAACTTCAATAACTATTGAGTGTCTTACAAAACCCATTTTGAATATATCAAGAACCTATTGTGATCTTGATATACCTCAGCAACCAATCAGAGGAGAGTGTAATGCGTATGCATGAACATATGCTCTCCCATTGGGTTAAACAATCAGAAGGGAAACCATTCTAATGGTTTCTGCATCATGTGACTGTCACATGCACTATGACCAAGATTATGTACAGCTGGTGCAGGATTTCTTTTATAAAAACCTGTATCACAGGTCTTTCAGCTCTCTGCCCTAAAAATCAAGATTTCACTTCCTACAGTTTTTGGCTTTCTCCAAAGCTAAAATAGTGAAACATTGTGGGTGATATTAAGGAGAATGTGATTAGGCAGCTGATGGTAATCACAAAAGAGGACTTTGCAAACTGCTCAAGAGGGAGAGGGGGGCTGTGATAAGTATGCCACTCCCAAGGAGTGTACTTTTGAAATGGACTAAAAGCAAACAAGAGGACAGTCCTACTTTGCCTTGCTTACCAAACACCAGAGTTTAACCGAATCTAATATTACTATATCCAATCTGATATTCCATCTAGTCAACAGAATACATTACTAATATACAGAAAGAAACAAAAAAAAATTTAAAATGAAGAAAATGCTTTGCAATTATCTTTGAAAGATTTAATTTTTCCTAATTTTAAACAGGCTAAGAACAATAAACTACCAATTCCTTAGATTTTATGATTCCAAAGCATTACAGCATTAAGCTGACTCAAAGTGGGTTCAACAAAGTACAACAAATATTATGATGTCATCAGTGATAGAGATTTCTTTGTTTTTTTTCCCCAACAGTTCAACCATCTCTTGGATTCTCATTGCTGGTGTTTACACTTTATGTCGCCAATTTTTAAAGACACTGCTAGGATTAAATTTAAGTAGCAAACATGGATCTTCATGCTCAATTTTAAAAAAAAAAAAAGGGGTAGCAAAAGGATGTTTTTCTTTCTTCACACAACTTCTATTTTAACTACATTCACTCTTCAGCAATTTTTGTTTTAAAAAGCAATGATTAGAATTGTAATAAAATCTAAACAAATGACGAAAGTGAACTTATACATTTTTTTTTGTACTTGAGTATTTATATCAAAAATATTAAATACCATTTATTTAGATTGTTTATTTACAAGAATAATTTGATATTTACAACATTCTAAAAACTAATACAATTTGATTAAGGCTAATGCAATACAATATTTATCATATGAAAATTTTTTTTATTCAAAAACATTTTCTATTATTTACCATTTTATAAAATTAGAATGAATTGGCAATTATCCAAAGTTTTGCCAACCATTCTGATAATATAATAGTGTTTATTATTTTTATTGTTAATTCTCAAAAACAAAGAAAATGTATAAATTCACTTTCATCATGTTAAATCTTATTTCAATTCTAATCACCACTTTTTAAAATAATAAACATTACCAAAGAGTGAAGGTAGTTAAAATAAAAGGGCTGTCCTGGAAAAATTGTCCTTTTGACACACTGTTATTTTGTTGTTTTTTTTTTCTTTTCTTTGAGTACAAAAGTCAGATATTCTTAACTTTTAAGAATTTTACAAAATACACTATTTCATGTAAAGTATTTAATCATTTCTACCGTGCCTCTCTTCTCAACTACTTTTTACATTTTATGCCTCACTGTGGAAAAAAACGTCAAGTTGTCTGTGGCTAAATACTGGCTTTGACAAATATATTCCAACCTTGCTTAAAGTTTGAAGTTGAGCCTTATATAGTGATTGAAACAGTTTTTATTGTAAAATAAAAATCTACCGAAACCTAATGTGTCAATGGAAAAAAAATGTCCTTCTGACATTTATTTTTTTTTTTTTTTGTGGGCACAAAAGTCCATGTTTGCCATTTAAGCAATGTTAAGCTATAGAAAAATAAAAGCTCAGAAAAAAAAAAAAAAAAGAAGATATGACCAGTGATCAACTTGCAGACTTGTCTGCTCCTAGCAGGATTTCCAACTGGTCTTTCATGATTTCTTTTTCCCCAGACTAAAAAGCTGAATATATGTGCAGTAACCTTTCATGAAACTTGGGAGTTTCAAGTTGGTAAAGGAGTAAAGGAATGAAAATAATGTCAGGCAGGTTTTTAATATTTCAATCCCATAATGCCATTGGTCAATGTAGATAAAGAAAATTAGCCTCATGATGATCTTGGTGATAAAGATGATAGTGACAGTGATAAGAAAGTGATGATTTGATGTGGTGGTGGTAGTGGTGGCAATGGTTTCAGAGCATTGTTTTACCTGAAGTTGTTGCTGTATCAGGTGGGCTTGCTGCTGTAGAAGGTGTTGTTGTTGCTGAGGGGTTAAATAGTGATGTTGGGCAACAACAGGCTGAACACCGGCTCCTGTTGCTATGGCAACTGCAGGCGTGCCCCCCTGTTGCTGCTGCTGCTGCAGCTGGTTGGGAGCAGCAGATGTAGTAATGGTGGTGGTGGCCGTAGATGGAGCTAGAACCTGTTGTGTCTGCAACTGTGGAGGAGGGGGAGGAGGAGGAGGAGAAGATACCTGCTGGTTGGGAGGATGGACCTGCTGCGTGGTAAGTTGTTGCTGCAGTTGTTGCTGTGATTGTTGTTGTTGTTGCTGCTGCTGCTGCTGCGACTGCTGCTGCAAAGGCGGTAGTGGGGACTGTGTCTGTGATAATGGGTTTTGAGAAAATAACTGAAGAATCTGAACCTGTTGATCTTGTTGCTGCTGCTGTTGTTGTTGTTGCTGCACAGACATTCTTTGGATAGTTTGTCGAGGTTGGGGCATCTCCAATGTTGCACTGGAACCTGGTACCTCGCATTCTGCACAATTCAAATAAGGACATCATGAGTCAAATTTATTAAAAACAAAAAAAAAAACAATATGGACCTTCATAAATATAAACATACAACAAATGAATAAAATACACAAAGAGGAATGCTGAAAAATTATTGGCCCAACCAAAAATTCTGGTGGATCAAACATTTCAGCACTGCCTAAGGTCTGTGTGTGTATTTTAGACACAGAAGACATAGGAATCAACAACGTATTGTGACAGCATAGCAGCATGAAAAGGACCATTTTCAAACCAACAAAATTTCTACCATAACAATGAGCACTCATTAGAATTTAACATAATAAGAAAGAAATAGAAAATATTTATAAATTTAGCATATTTCACTTTTATTTCAGCTTCAGAAATTTTTCTCTTCTATAATTTCCCCAAAAATTTCTGATGAAGCTCAAACAAAAGCAACACATTAAATTTATAGACATTTCCTATCTGTTCTTTATCCTCGACATACATACATACATACATACATACATAGGACTAATGGATTTTTTTTAATACAATGTTATGCCTTACTAAAGAGTGTTCCAATAACTTGACCGATTTTAAATGTGAATGAAGTTTAAGTGTCTAATAATGTTTTTCTTTTTCTTTCAGATTTAACAACTTATGTCTTTCACAATTTCAACCCTGGAAAGTTCAACAGTGCAATTGGAAAATTGTTCGTAAATTCAAATAAATTGGGTTGGTGTCAGATGTGAAAACACCATTGTGTGCTCGTTTACGCCATTCAGCTGAAAACATCACTGCAGTACATGAGAATGCAGCCGAAAATCCAAACACCTCTATTTTTCATAGCACGCAGGAATTGAACCTCTCCAACAATGTTACATCATTTCCAATTGCACTCTCAGTTGGTTGATTAGGTTGACAACAAAAAAAAAAAAAAAAAAAGTACACACAAAGTGCACAAAAAGCATTTCTGTTTAAACGTTCATTTTCATAATAGGCTTCAGTAATTTTAACATGTTTGATTGTTAATCTTTTCATGGTTGAAATTGCCAAAAAAATCAAGTTGTTAAATGTGAAAGTGAAAGAAAAAGAAAAAAAAAAATCATTAGACACTTAAACTTAATTCGCATTTAAGATCGGTCCTAGTTATTGGAACACCCTTGACCATACAGGTTATATTTAGTTGGTAAACTATTTTAGTAGACCTGTGTGTTAAAAGTCAATTTAATGTCTAACAATATAGAGAGATGAAGTCTTACTGAAGAAAATATTCACTCCCCAGCCCCAAACAGGAATTACTTAAAATGGAAACGGATTTTTTTTTTTATTCCAGTCAGGCAGGTCAGTAGTCATTAATTTTACTGTCAAAAAATAAAATTGAAAAAATTTTTTTTAAAAAATACACACACAACAACCCAAACAGGAATATCTTCTCACTAAATATAAACTTATGTGAATAAATATAAACTTATATATGAATAAAAGTAAAAGAAAAAGCCAATGTTTTTACTTTTTCAGAATGTTTTAAATTTAAGAATCCATCAGTGGATGAAATGTGTTGGCTAAGAAAAGTTTTCCTTTTGTCATTTTTCAGTCTTTACAGATATATTTTAGTTATAGCTATATATATTTTTTTTTTTACATACACGTGCGTGTGTGTGTTTGTGTGTAAGGCAACTATCAACATTCAGTGATCAGATAATGTTATCTGCTCGCTTGCTGTTAAGTTTGTTTTGTTTTTTTGTTACAAATGTTTTTTGAAAAATAGAAAATCTTCACTGTCATCTTTAAAATTTTATTTTCATGGAGATCAACTTATATACACTTTATAAAAATGTTATATCTGAATAAGAGTGTTAAAATATTTTAAACAGGGATCTAAACATAAGAACCACTTTATATTCAATACTTTTGAATCTATTCCGTTACCATTTTGCAAGCCTATTTTGCTCTTTATACTAGGCTTTTGATAGCTTGCAAAAGTATAACACTACCATTAGAGGTGTTATCTCACCTATAGTGGTAAATTAGTGAAATATTGATCTGCCTGATCCTTTAATTTGAACCTTATACTATTTTTTTTATTTATTTATTGTTTTTATTTTTTTTTTTAGAAAAGTCAGAGTACAGCTGTGAAAATAAATAAAATAATTCATTCCATTTAAATTTTGGTTTTTCTAAACACCTTAATTAAATTAAGATATAAATTTAAAAAAAGTTTTTTGCCTTATACAGGATTGATTACTATAGCTTATCAACTCTCTGTGGGCTATTTAAAACCTTGGAGGTCACAAAGTATGCAGCATCTCCAAGCAGTCAACCCACCTATGGTGTTTATACAAGAAAAACTACCTAAAATTTAAATTCTAATAGAATAAAGTTTCTGTAAACATTGTATATAAAACATTTGCTGAATTGGGATTAAATACATATCAAATATGGATTAGAATCTGACAATGACAGGATAAGAAGAAATGTTTTCTATCAAATCATCTGCTATTGCAAAGAATTCATTTGACTTTTCCCTAATTACAATCTCATTATCCTATGACATTTATTCAACTATTTTAGTTTAATATTTCCCCGCTCTTAATTTTTAACCTTAGGAGGGAAGAATGTAAGGAAAAAAAATTACAAATTATTTACATTTGGACTAATATTCTCATCTTTATTGTTATCACAATGTTTCAGCAGTTAAGATCTCTAGTCTTCTTCAAGTGAGTGCTGATTCATGTAATCTTCAATAAATTTCAAACTGAACCCTTTATTTAATTTACAGGGTAGATCTTCACTAACCATGTGTAGGGATAGCTCATTTTGTTCTTATTTAGTACCGCTGAATCTAAATCTGTACTATCCAGCTCAGGAATACAACTGACAAATACTATGTCACCAAATTCACAAAACAACACTTTAATATACTAGGCCCATGGGACAATCCCGAGTCTAGAACTTAGTGCAAAATACACCCCCTCCAATTTATAGGCAAAAACCAAATATGCATGCTGGGATTTCTTCCTATCCAATTTCTTTTGTTATTGTTTATTACAAATTTTGTCAATTCTGTCTATTGAGTAGTTGTCATTTACCATGGCCATTTACTCTACAAAATATATATATATATATATATATATATATATATATATGATAGATATTAAAACTGTACCTGAAATAAAAGGTTAGAAAAGGAAAAAAAAAATTAAAACAAATGTCGTTATGCAACATCATTATACAAAGTTTAGAACAAAACAATAAGTGGAGGTACAAAATTTCATTGCTTTACCTGTGATAAAAGGCGTTTTCATTGCATTCAACATCAAATTATACAAACAGGTAACTCATTAGACACAATGCAAATTGCTATCAACTGCTGACACATCAGAAGTTTTTAATAAGAAATCAATTACAGCCCTTCTCAAGAAATAGATGTGAACTTCTAGCTAGGTCAAATGAAAAACCAAAATCATCAGAGCCTGAACCAGATTTGTTTGGCGTGAAAGCAGATTCAAAATTCACTGGTAATTTTGGTGTTCCCTTCCTTACTAATGTTCTATTGGAAGCAAATTATTGAAACATGTTGAATTTCTTAACATTGTTTTTAAGAAGATCCAATATCATGAAAAATTTAGTATTAAAAATATAATGTGATCATAATTTTTCCAGTTTGCATGGAGAACAAATAGAAATCCAAATTTATTATTCCGCTATATTAAGAAAATAAAAGCCCCAAAGTTTCTAATGTTGCATGCTAAGAAATAATAAAAAGATTGAACTATCTCCTTATTTAAAAAAGAGGTTGGATGAGGGGAAACAACAGGACAGTTTACTCTGAAACTTCTTATAAAGACTTAACTAGTCATGCTAAAAAAGAATTATTTCAAGAACTATTTTTTGCATTTGGTTCCCCTCATAAATGACCTACAGAAAGGTCACGATTCTTAAGTTTACAGCTCCTAAATATAAACAATGGAAGTGCAGGTGGTGTAATGGTTAGTGGCTTCAAACAAGACATCAGCAAGTTCAGTTCTAATTCCTGTTGAGCTTATTACATTCACTTTCACACAAATACACTTGGAAAATGTCTAAGTCCATCTCTTCTCCCCCAGTTATGGGTTAAATAGTAATATAGTCTGTGCTCTTTTAACCTTGCTTGGTAACTAGTCTAGGAAAAAGACTGAATTCCAAACTGGTTGGGCATGGAGCTAGCAATTCCATGCTATAGAAACCTCAGTAGCAACACCTAGTATGCTGAAAACTTTGTCCCTATCCATATTCCACAGTTGGATTACACCAGAATTGAGTAAGTGAGTGGGTGATATAAACAATGTATGAAAATATCAGAATTCATATTTCTTGTGGTGTTTACTATAGCAAAGCTATGATAGATATTTTTCTGGAGAAAGTCAATTTTGGCACACAGATCAAACCAAGGAAGATGGCCCAGCTAGAGTTAACCTTTACCACACTGCAGGCAACAATAGTCACCATAAAATTCTCTCCCCTACTGCTATCAGTGACTTTTGTCACCTTGAGATGGTTGCTATAAACAAACACTTGTCAACTGTTATTTCCGGTATTTTAAGCTGGAAATCGCCTACTACTGCTTTGGAATAAGGCTAAACTTGTTTTCCAATGCTATTTTGAATTCTTCTAGACTCTATACAAGGGGTACCATCAATTAAACCCACGTTAATTATTTTGCAATTTTCTGTAAACAAAAATGGCCACGCCAATATCCAACAGAGCCTTTATTCAGGAGTTTTTCTTTGATTAACACTCCGATGACAATTCTGAAGGCTTTACTCGAGTGGATATTGACAGTGAAGTGGTCGAAGATGATAACCATGTTAATGACGTGGAGGAAATCGACAATGACCACTAACTGCTATTATCATTCATGCCTGAGTAATTTTATGGAAGCTACTGGCAACTATTGATATATCTGATGGTCTTTCTGAAGGTGAATTATTTTGTCTATTTATAAACAACAAAATAACAATAACTTTATTTGTCAATGAG